GTGAATGGTTGGGAACATTTTTCATCTTCAGCTTGTTCCGTGGTGAGATTATCCTTCCTGCTTTTGTCAGATATATTTCTGTAAGGGACTCAGAGTTGGCTTTGTCTGCACCAATTCAAGTGGCTAAATATAGGAATGGTCACTTGATTCCGCTTAACAAATCCCTGAGAGTTTTTCATTTGATCTTTCAAGGTGGCTTTGAGATAAACCTGGACCACAGGAAGCTGAAAACTCCCCAAGCCAAGCTCTTTACCGTGCCCAGCGAGGCCCTGGCCATCGCAGTGGCCACTGAATGGGATTCCCAGCAGGATACCATCAAGTACTACACCATGCACCTGGTAACAAGTTCATAGTGTGAACCTGCACCCCGAGACCCACCTAGGCCTTCCTAGGGTAGACCCCTTACCAAGTTCTGACAAGGCCCTGGGGGATGGTCCTTTGCCTGCTTGGGCCCCAGGTATTCACCTCCTCTTGAGTCACTAATGTGCTAAACTCTTTCCTTGTCTGGTCTGGCCACTTGCACTTCTGTCTCCTGGGAACACCATGCTGGATGGCGGGTTTCGCCTCTGGTTTCAGGACAGATGTCACCTTCACTGACTGCCCAATTCTCTTATTTTCTATGACAGCAGCTGGCCATTTGTTTTGTCAGCGCTTAGACAATTTATAATTGTTTTATGTTTGCACATTTATTGTCTGTCTTCTCCACTGTCTGGTAAGCAACAGAAGGGCAGGAGCCGTGTCTGTTTTACTCACCAGTGTCCAGACAGCCACTAGGAGGAGGTATAGTTGGTACTCAGTAAATATTGGCTGAATATAGGATCCACTGGAGACAGATGAGTGAGGTGAGGAAGACTCCCTATAGAACCAGCCCTCTTGTCCACACCAAAGTGGCCTGCTGAGGCACCCAGGCTGCCTGGGGAAGGAAGGGTCCAGCCTCTGCAGCTTCTAAACTGTAACCTTGGGCATGTCAATGCCCCTTTCTCAGCCCCGTATCCCCCATCTATTAAAGATGAGTGATAATAGGACCCACCTCACGGAGCCATGGTCAGGATGAGATGAGATGCTGCATAGAAAGCCCTTGGCATGGTCCCTTGGCTGACTCCTATATTGACTGACTGGGCACTCAGTCAATATAGGAGTCAGCAGCTGTCATCCCATTCACTGTTGTGCTCAACCTTTGCAAACCCAGGTGGGCCTCCTTCCAACATGACAGCCTGCTGAGGTGCTGGCCTGGTCCTTGACAGTATAGTGAAATTAGGGTGATTAGGGCTACAAATGAATAGGTATCCTATGCAGCCTGTTATTGACAAGGTAAGTCTGGAAAAAATAGTCTTTTTTTTGAGACAAAGTCTCACTCTGTTGCCCAGGCTGGAGTGCAATAGTGCAGTCTCGGCTCACTGCAACCTCTGCCTCTTGAGTTCAAGCGATTCTCCCATCTAGCTGGGATTAAAGCTACAGTAGCTGGGATTACAGGTGCCCACCACCACACCCAACTAACTTTTGTACTTTTAGTAGAGACATGGTTTCCATGTTGGCCAGGCTGGTTTTGAACTCTTGACCTCAGGTGATCTGCCCACCTCGGCCTCCCAAAGTGCTGGGATTACAGGTGTGAGCCACCATGCCTGGCCAAAAAAATAATCTTGATTCTGATTTGAATGGTCTTTCCCTGCTTTCTAAGCTGTAAGGGGGCCAGCTGGTAAAGGTTTCTAGTCAGATTTGAGCTCCATCATTGATACGTGTCTTATTAACTGTATGTGATGATGCACTTAACCTGTCTGGGCCTCAGTTTTCACGGATGGGCATAATAATAGAAGCTATTCCAAAGGGTTGTTGTGAGGATTAATTTTTTTTTTGAGGCAGAGTCTTGCCCTGTCACTCAGGCTGGGGTGCAGTGGCAAGATCTTGGCTCACTGCAACCTCCACTTTCAGGTTCAAGCGATTCTCCTGCATCAGTCTCCGGAGTAGCTGAGATTACAGGCACCCACCACCAACAACTAATTTTTTTTGCATTTTTAGTAAAGGTGAGGTTTCACTGTGTTGGTTGGGCTGGTCTCGAACTCCTGACCTTGTGATCCTCCTGTCTCGGCCTCCCAAAGTGCTGGGATTATAGGCATGAGCCACCGCGCCTGGCTGTGAGGATTAAATACACTAGAGCCTGGTAATAAAAGGCATGTGACCATGGGGAGGTTCACTAATCCTGGGGCTGCCGTAAGGTTCCCTTGAGTCCTGTGAACATCAACACAAAGCCTCTGGCGTGGAGCCTGGCTGTGACACCCTCTCAGTAGCTGTGCTCCTGCTCCAGTAGCACAGACGCCTCTGACGGGGCTGTGCTGTGGTGCTGTCTGCTATGTTTCAGATGTGGTGTCCTCAGGAAAGCAAGGCTTTTGCCTGACCCAGCAGGCAGTGACAGGGTGCTTTTTGCCTTTGATTCAGACCACATTGTGCAACACATCCTTGGACAACCCAACCCAGAGAAATAAGGATCAGCTGATCCGAGCAGCTGTGAAGTTTCTGGACACCGACACCATCTGGTAATGGACATTTATATGGGTATTCCCTTTGGGTTGAGACAGTCCCTGGGGCTGTTTTTCATGATTTGCCCAGATGGTTATTGGGGAAGAAGAAACCCTCTCCATTTATTGCAAGGACAGGGAAGGTAGCCCACTTGACTTTGGCACTTGGCTGCTCTACAGCCTCTTAGGAGGAGGACTCCTTGGGCTATGATGGTGTGAGAACATGGCCACCCCTCTTCTCTAGCCCAGAAGCTGCTCCTTAGGCTGCTCCTTAGGTTATACAGCTCTTGGAGGTGCCACGTCCACAGACCCCTTAGGCCTAGCCGGGGCCTCTGACCTTAAACTTCTGCCCACTGACACTTTCTCAGGTAGGCATACTTGACATTACAGATGCTGATATTTAGGAGTGTCCTTCCCAGTTCTGAATTCTCCTCTGTGTCTATGTTTCTTGGCTGATTGGTCAGTAATACTGAACGAAAGTTGAAGAAACAATGGAAATGATTGAGCAGCACTGTGCCTGCTAGCCCAAGTGCTCTAGGATCCTGAGTCATCTCTGATGACACAGAAAGTCGGCACCGGCAGCTGGAGGCATGCTCTTGAAGCGGGTGGCCCATAGCTAGTGAGAAAGCCTACTCCATTTATATTAGGGTTCACTTGATTGCGGGGAGCAGAAACCCATTTAACCTAACTCAGACAAAAAGGGGATTCTTGGAAACTATACAGGGATCCTGACAGGAAATAAAGGACAGTTGGGTCACCAGGAAAGGGAGCTGGAAGATCCAATGTCAGAGCTCCTCCCTGTGCCCTACTGGGGTGATAGGAGCGTTGGTGAGGAAAGGCTGGCCACTCATCTGCCCCTCCCAGCATCCCAACTTTTCCTGTATAACTCATGACCTCTCTTCCCCACTTTGCTTACACAAGATGGTGGATTTCCATAGTGCCCACTTGGGTTCCCATCCCATGAGACCTTGCAGCTCAGCTCCTCTCAGCTGACTCATGTCTGTGTCTCTTGTTCAAACAAATGGCACAGGCTGGCCTCTAGAGTGGTTCTATCGGGTCTGGCATCTGTGCCAGCCACTGCATCTATAGCCAGGAGGTGGGTGGACTTATGAGGTGTAAACAGGATATTTGGTCTGTGGCCAGGGGCACACTCTCTTGGAGGGGGTGAAAGTAGGGATGCAAAGACTGAGCATCTGGCTCAGCATTCCCATTTGGCATCCTGGTCAAGCAGCTGTGGACCTGGGGTTGCAGACTGATTGGATCTGCTTTAGAATGGCAGTAACATAGTGCAGCAAGTTTGGAGCTGTCAAATATTTGGGGTCATTTATGGTAGTGGTTCTCAAACTCAAGCTTACATTAGAATCCCCTAGAGGGCTTGTTAAAATAGATTGCTGGGCCCCACCTCCAAAGGGGCTGATTTCTATCAGGATGTGGCCTGAGAATGTGTATTTCTAACAAGTTCCCAGGTGATGCTGGTGCCAGGGCCACACTTTGAGAACCACTGCTTTAGAGGAAAAGACTTGTGGGGCTGGGATGGTGGTGGTGATGTTTTTGCTGTTGTCCTTTGTGTTTTTCCTTTTCTATCACTGAATAAAGGAATTGTACTTTTTTATTAATAAAGGCGATTTTTACAATGAATTAGCTACAGGGTGGAGGAGCCAGAGACATTAGTGGAACTTCAAAGGAATGAGTGGGATCCAATCATAGAATGGGCTGAGAAAAGGTAAGATGTGCAGCCCTGCAGAAAACACTGACTGGGCACCTGTGTTGGTGGATTGTTGGGGTCGGGGGCCACGCTGGAAAACTAATGCCCTTAGCTAGTCAGCTTTTTTATTTCAGAGTACTCGTGGGATTCGGCTCCCCTCATGATCAGGGATAGGGTCTTCTTGGGGAAAAAAGCACCTCAAACTCATTTCAGCACACCTGCTACAGCAGTGCATGAAGTGTAGGAGGCAGCTCTGTGTCCTCGGAAAAGCACTGGAGTCTCCAGGTCACCTTCTGCCATCGGGTCAGAGCAGCAATGTCAGTATAAATCCCACCTCTGCTAGAGACTCAGCTGTGTGACTTTTGGCTAATGAGTTGATCTCTCTGAGTTTCAATTTCCTTATATATAAATGGGGCTAATAATCCCTATGTCCCTACCTCTCAGGGTTTGAGGAGGAGTAAATGAATTGATGTATATAAAGGCTTAGCATCCTGCTTAGCACACAGTAAATGTTCAAATTTTGGCAGTGATTTTCATCTTCATCACAATTGCTGTACTATGAAATAAAATAACAGAACAACATGTATGATATGTATGCACTTGGAGAAAAGTATGGATAGCTTCCTGCAAAATTACAGGTAACATGCAGCAGATATGTAGCTTCCAGGAATTGATACAAAGTATTTTTCCTTAATAGGAAGATTCTTTTGAGTGCAAAGTTGAATGTTTTATTTATTGATGTGGTGGCAAAAGAAATTCGATTTCATTTGATCGCAAGGGAAATTTGGAAGGGCTGGCTTTCATGGCACCACCTTGACCATGGTATTTTCTAAGCTTGCAAGGCACTTTCTTGGTATAGCATTTTTCACGAAAGTGATGTTACCAATCTGTTCACTGATACGCTACATGCTGCCTGATGCTCACAATGTGGCAGGTTTCCTTAAAGGAGGTCTTAAAGGAGAAGGCAAAGCCAGTGCTCTAAAGACCAGACTACAATTCTGTGTGGGAATGTGACAATACAATGTCATTTCAGAATCTAGTGAAATATAACAATAATTTAGGTGCTTAGAGAGCTTTGCTATAGTATAAAATCTTCAGATTCTTGTGGCAGGAAATATTCTATCCTTAAGAGTTTACAGAAAAACTTAAGCCATTTCCTACAGTCCATTTGCACTATGAGGAATTTTAGCAAGAATTTTTTCTTTCTTTCTTGAGATGGAGTCTTGTTCTGTCACCCAAGCTGGAGTGCAGTGGTGCAATCTTGGTTCACTGCAACCTCTACCTCCTGGGTTCAATCGATGTTCGTGCCTCGGACTCCCAAGTGCCTGGGATTATAGGTGCTTACCACACCCGGCTGATTTTTGTGTTTTTAGTATAGCTGGGGGTTTCAGCATGTTGGCCAGGCTGGTCTCGAACTCCTGACCCCAAGTGATTGCCTGCCTCAGTCCCCCAAAGTGCTGGGATTATAGGTGTGAGCCACTGTACCCAGTTGTGTTTTTTTAAGTAACAGAAAAAAATCAGTGATATATGGAAGAAAATTACAAAAATTATTTTTATCCCCCATTGTGTTTTTCTTCCATTTTACTTAGTTATGGTTATTCTTGAAAATGTATCTGCTCTTGAAACCAGCACATGTCCCGTAAACCACAGACCAAAAACAATGCCTTGATAAATGTTTGAAAAAATAGATCAGGCAGGGTGGCTCACACCTGTAATCCCAGCACTTTGGGAGGTCTAGACGGGCGAATCACTTGAGGTCAGGAGTTCGAGACCAGCCTGGCCAACGAGGTGAAACGTCATCTGTACTAAAAATACAAAAATTGGCCAAGTGTGATAGTGAGCACTTGTAATCCCAGCTACTCAGGAGGCAGAGGCAGGAGAATGGCTTAAACCTGGGAGGCAGAGGTTGCAGTGAGCTGAGATCACACCACTGCACTCCAGCCTGGGCGAGAGAGCAAGAAAGACTCCATCTCAAAAAAAAAAAAAAGGAAAAAAAAATGTTTGAAAAATAGGTGCTGATTTGTCTCCGTGGCTCATGCCTATAATCGCAACACTTTGGGAGGCCGAAGTGGCCAGATCACTTGAGTCCAGGCATTTGAGACTACCTCAAGCAACATGGTGAAACTCCAACTCTCCAAAAACAATTAGCTAGGTGTGGTGGCACACGGCTGTAGTCCCAGCTACTTGGGGGACTGAGGTGGGAGGATTGCTTGAGCCTGGGAGGTTGAGGCTGCAGTGAGCCAAGATTGCGCCAATGCACTCCAGCCTGGGTGACAGAGTGAGACTCTGTTTCAGTAAAAAAGAAAAAAACCTCCATGATATATGACATACATAAACATTATTTTAAGGAAAACCATTTTAAATACTGTTTTTAACTTTTATATGGCCTCAAATGTGAAAATCTTTTTAAAGAGATGTAAAAGGCAGATAGCCTTTTGATGGAGATTCCAGGTGAATGAATGAGCACTTCAGGCAACTAGCTGAGCACTAGCTCACATGACTCAGGAACCATCCCTCATCCAGCACAGTTTCTTGGACCTCTGAGTTTGCTCTTGAGGGACAGAAAATTGGGTTGGGAGGGCACTGACAATGGTGGCAGTTGCTCCTGGAGTCCTCAAGACCAGCCAATGCATACACGCTTAGAAGCTTAGGCCTTTGTTTCTAGTTAAAACGTGGGCTGCTTTTGGGCTACAGCATGACAGGGACAAACTGAAGCCCTTTTCCTTTCAGATATGGGGTGGAGATCAACTCCTCCACCAGCATAATGGGACCCAGCATCCCCGCCAAGACTCGGGAGGTGCTTGTCAGCCACCTGGCGTCTTACAACACGTGGGCTCTGCAAGGTATGTGTGGAGTTTCCTGTGGGCGTGGCAGGTGGCTGTGAAAGCCATCAGTGTCTGAAGCCTATACTTGCCCCTCCCCAGGTGCTGTGAGTGGGGAGGCACCGGAGGGCTCCAGGCTAGCTGAGTGTGGAGGCTCTGATGCCAGCTTGTCACTCACCACTGTAGGCTCACGCCTTTTCACCGTTGACTTCTGCAGCTGAAGTCTTGAGTTCAGTCTCATTGCTCTGGCTTGGGTCACATGTCCATCCAATCACTAGACGGTGGGGCAAGCTCTGATTTGCCAAGTTTGGGTCATGCGTCCCACTGGGTAAGAGCAGAGGAGGATCACCCCCAGGGAAAACCAGAGTGCTCTTTCAGAAGAGTGGCCCAATTGCCAGATAGCTCTTTGCACCACTCATTCCTGTTCTCTGCCAGGGCTACTGGGACTCACAAGGGGTAAGTTGTGGCAGCTGCCCTGTTTTGGGTCCTGACTTGGCTTGTGTCCCTGCAGGCATTGAGTTTGTGGCTGCCCAGCTCAAGTCCATTGTGCTGACCTTGGGCCTGATTGACCTGCGCCTGACGGTGGAGCAGGCCGTGCTGCTGTCACGCCTGGAGGAGGAGTATCAGGTGAGGAGCAGTACCTCAGGTCCTGTCTCCCCCTTCCTAGTTCAGACTCACTCTGAGGGAGCGGCTAACCCATATGAAGTACTGTTATGTATACCTGGCTTTTATTGCTTTTGTGTACGTGCATAAATCAAAATCAAAGACCAGCAAAAGTATTATCAAGTAGACCTGGTGTGGTGGTTCACACCTGTAAACCCAACACTTTAGGAGGCTGAGGTGGGTGGATCATTTGAGGTCAGGAGTTCGAGACCAGCCTGGGCAATATGGCAAAACCTCATCTCTACAAAAAAATACAAAAATTAGTGCCTGTAGTGCCAGCTATTTGGGAGACTGAGGTGGGAGGATTGCTTGAACCTGGGAGGTGGAGGTTGCAGTGAGCCAAGATTGTGCCTCTGCATTCCAGTCTGGGTGACAGAGTGAGACTCTGTCTCAAAAAAAAAGTATTGTAAAGTAATAACAATAAAAAGATAACATAAGTGCCACTGCTGTGTTCCTGCACGTACCCATCTCACCTCCTCTCAGCAGCCTGGTCAGGTAGGAGCTGTGGTTATCTCTGTTTTACACAGGAGGAAACTGAGATGCAAGGTTGCACCTCTGGAAAATGTGCCAGCTGGGGTTTGAAGCCAGGTCTGGTGATTCTAGGGCCAAAGCTGTCAGGTCCCACTCTGCACATGGAGGTTCATGGGTGGATAAAAGACCACCTGGGCTTGATAAAGCCTGCAGAACAGCCCTGCCAAGATGACTGAGAACCTGTTTGTGCCCTTACATCAGCTGAGCTTTCATACCCTGACATTTTATCTGGCTGGCAGAGGAGTATGGGATAGCTGCTGTTTGTATACAAGTTTGGATTTAGTGGGCTCAGAATTAAGGTTTTGCTACAGTATGGTTTGCATTTTTTAACTGAAAATTATGGCCATCTTTGCAGTCTTTTTGTTATGATGCCTCCAACTTCAGAAGGTTAATTGCTATTATGAATTGGTCCCTAGTATGGTTAAAAAAAAAAAAAAAAAAGCTTTTTATAGTGTATTTCCCAAGTTCGTGTAGTTTTCTGCTCAGAAAAATGCCAGAGGAAAACCTTTTTGTATAACAAAGGAGGCCCACTACTATTCTCTGATGTCAGAACTGATTACATAGGAAGGGAGTGACTTGTAGGGCTGGTGGGAAGCCAGTCTAGGCTTTGCTTCTGACTATAGGACCCAAGCCAGGCCATCATTCTCTCAACTTGGGTTTCAGTCCTCTACAAACAGAGGAATAACCTGAATTATGTATGTGATGGTATACAATGAAAGTATGGGATGCTCTTCAGATAACATATTACAATTGCACAGATTGGGACTGGGCAGCCCAGAAGTTCAAATAGCTTCTGTAGCATGGCAGATTCTGAGTTCCTGGATGAGCTGGGGTGGCCAGGCCAGGCTTCTTAGGCCCCTAGCCAGGGAGGAGCCAGCGGGGTCTGGTTGGAGTTACACTGTCTGGACAGCCACATTGTGTGTCTGAGGGTTCTTCCCTCTTGTTTTTAGAGTTCCAGACAGAATCTGCAATCCCCAGTGTGCAGAGCAGAGACATCTGTAGTTCTGTGACTACCTCAGGAGTCAGAGCTGAAGCCACTGTGTGGTCTTGCTTGATTTAGTTATTCCACCCACATGGGGCTGCACTCGCAGCCCAGCATGCCAGTGCAGCTTGAAGAGGCTGTCAGTTCACAGGCTTCCCGGGAGGAAATGTAGGAGAAGGAATAGCACACAGGTCAGGTCTCCTCAAATAAGTCATATTGTGGTTCGGGTACCCAGCCTGCCTAGTGGTGGGGGCCTGGGCCTGGACTGTACTTCTTCGAGACCATCCATGCCACAGAGAGCACAGGTGTCTGCTCTGGATCCCTAGGTGGGCGGGGGTGTGTGTGCGGTTTTTGAGACAGGGTCTTGCTCTGTTGCCCCCGTTGGAGTACAGCAGGGTGATCTCGGCTCACTGCTGCCTCAGCCTCCTGGGCTCAAAGCAGTCCTCTCACCTCAGGCTCTCAACTAGCTGGGACTACAGGTATGTCCCCACCCCCCGCCACACTACCCAGCTAATTTTAAAAACTTTGTAGAGATAAGGTTTCACCATATTTGTCCAGGCTGGTCTTGAACTCCTGGGTTCAAGCTGTCTTCCTGCCTTGGCCTCCCAAAGTGCTGGGATTATAGGCGTGAGCCACCGTGCCTGGTCCACCTGGGTGTTCTTACCTGCCGCCTCCCCCTAGGCATGTCTCACGTTTCGGCAGGATCCAAACCTGTTGCCCTTGGCTGAGCTATTGAATGGAATGTGGCTTTGGCCAGGAGGCAGCCAGGCACTGACCACTCACACAGCAACTCGTCTTGTCCTTCCTTCAGATCCAGAAGTGGGGCAATATTGAGTGGGCCCATGACTACGAGCTGCAGGAGCTGCGAGCCCGCACCGCTGCCGGCACCCTCTTCATCCACCTCTGCTCTGAGAGCAGCACAGTCAAGCACAAGCTCCTGAAGGAGTGAGGCCTGGGCAGCGCACACCCAGCATGATGGTGGCAGTACAGCCACAGCTACCCTGGCCTTTGGGGTTCCCCAGCCTGTGGGGCTGGCTCCCTTGGCCTTTGGGGCTCAGCCTCAGAGTCACCCTGAGATTCCCCCAAGACACAGTGCGCTAGTGCAGCTGTCCAGAGGTCAGCCTGATTTCCACCCAGGTGCCCCTGGTTTGGCCAGCAGTGAACGTGGGAGACAAATTGTACAAGTGACTTTCTCTCAACACTGATTTTATTAAATATTTCTCCACCCTGGAAATGTGCTGAGCCCTGTTTTCACGTGTGCCTCGGCACTTCTCCATTCTTCCTGTTTTGTCCAGGTTTCCTTAGGTTGAATAGCTTCTTTCCCACGGCATGTTTGGGTATCTGCTGCCTGTGGCCGGGAACCTCGCACTGGGGAAACAGTCATGTCATCCGCAGGCAGCTCTGTTTATATTCTTTAGCCTCAGCTTGAAGGCTTTTTCTGGCTGGTTTTTAATCAAACGGTCTTTTGAAATGATCTTGGTCTAAGCTGGTTGTTTCTATTTTTCCTACTGTTCTAAAACAGATGATTTACTCGAGAAAGTAGAAAATAGAAATTGTTCCTGGGCTAAAAGCCTGGACGGTCTTGGCGAGGTCACCTGATGTCCATGTTTTCACTCATCACCCACCCAGGAGTCCTAAGGGTCCTCCCGACACAGCCACCTCTAGCGTCCCAGGAGGCAGCTGCTGCTTTCTGGTGACGGGCCAGTGAGAGGGCAGTGGGGAGACTGTGGTTCTCAGGCAGACAGGCTCTCTCAGCCCTGTGTCTTTGCCAGGCTGAGTAAGGAAATGGCATCAACACTGCTCACAGGGCACTGATCACATGCTGGGTGCCTCTCCACGCTTCCCATGCACTGTCTCCCTGAACCGTTCCTCGACTGCACTCTGAGATACTGTCACTCTAAGGTACTGTCACACCAGGGCTGCGGAGGTGATGCAGTGGAGCAGAGATGCCCCGCCTGTGCTCTGCTCTTCTGGAGGGTTCTCAGGTCCCTATGGCAATCCTGAGCCTTGGTGGGCAGGCCCAGGCCCTAGCACCCTGGTGGGAGCTGCAGCCTCTCCTGCTTCTCCGCCCCTCAGCACCCAGAGGAGAGAAGGTCTCAGCCCACCCCAGCCTCTTCTTGCCTGTTGGTAGCAGCCTGCCTGGGCATGGCAGGGGAAACAGCAGGGGCACGTGTCTGACTTTATGCTACAGCCAAGAGTCTAGCCAATGGCAGCGCCGTTGGGACCAGCTGTTTTTCTCAAATTCTTTCCTCCTGTTCATATGTGAACATGAATTCTAATTTTTTTTTTTGAGATGGAGTCTCCTCTCTTGCCCAGGCTGGAGTACAGTGGCCATCTCGGCTCACTGCAACCTCTGCCTCCCGGGTTCAAGAGATTCTCTTGCCTTGGCCTCCTGAGTAGCTGGGATTACAGGTGCATACTACTATATCTGGCTAATTTTTGTATTTTTAGTAGAGATGGGGTTTCACCATGTTGGTCAGGCTGGTCTTGAACTCTTGACCTCATGATCTGCCCACCTCGGCCTCCCAAAGTGTTGGGATTACAGGCGTGAGTCACTATACCCAGCCAGTTTTGTTTTTTTTTTTTTTTAACGAATAGGGGAAATGTGACGTGAATCCTTTATTTTCTCTACATTTGGAAGTTCTTCCAGGGGTGGGGGAAGAATGGTGTTGGGGATCGTGGTTGAGAGATGCCCAGCAACTCTCCTGATGATGCTTGGTGAGGCATGTGCACTTCCTTCTCCTAGTTGGGGCTGGTGCTTTGTTTTGAAGAAGCCCCTGTGACTGACACTCATCTAGTCTAGGATGTCGCTGTATTCAAGGTTGTCCAGTTCACTCTTCATGTGGTCGATGTACAGATTGATCTCCTTCACGCGCTTGCGGTTCCTCATGATCTCATCCCTGTGAATCTGAGGAATGAAACCAAAACCAAAGGCTGATTCCTTACAGCAGATCATTGGTTAATATTTTTTTTTTTTTTTTTTTTTTTTGAGATAGAGTCTTGCTCTGTCACCCAGTCTGGAGTGCAGTGGTAAGATCTTGGCTCATTGCAACCTCTGCCTCCCGGTTCAAGCAGTTCTCCTGCCTCAGCCTCCTGAGTACCTGAGATTACAGGTGCATGCCACCATGCCCAGCTAATTTTTTGTATTTTAGTAGAGACAGGATTTTACCATGTTGCCCAGGCTGGTCTCAAACTCCTGAGCTCAGGCAATCCACCCGCCTCGGCCTCCCAAAGTGCTAGGATTACTGGTGTGAACCACCGTGCCCAGCCTCATTGGTTAATATTTTTCACTGAGTTCAGTTTGAGGGAAGGGAAAACAGTTCCTTGAGATCTGCAAGCCTCCTCATTTGCTTCAGAGCCTCCCCAGGTTCTGCTGATCTCTATATTTGAAGTAGGAGTTAGAAAAATGATGAAGCCCATGGGTGTTAAAGTCTCTGGGCAATGTTGTCTTCATTGTGGAGTTCTACAATCCTTAATTTTCTTTCTTTCTTCATTTCATTCCTTAATGAAAATTCTAACCACCACCTAGGGAGGACTTCCATGTCAGCCTAAAAAATTTTTCCAACCTGCTAGGATGGCTTGGCATTGACTCACCTTGTCTACTAAACGTGTACACCAGGAGTTGATTCTGGTCACTAGCTCATCTTCTCGATTGTCAATCTTCAGGAGGTGGATGTCGTGCGATGCCCCGACAGCATTAACAGTCGTATCCTTATCAACAAAAAGCTGGTGAGTGAAAAGAAACCAATGAGATTGTGTGTGTCATTACACCCCGAACACTAAGACAGCTGAATAGCAAAGGAGCATCTGGAAGTTACCTGGCTGTGCAGGCCACACTCGGAGCAAAGCCCACCTTGGTATCAGCGGACTCTGCCGATTCATCTGTGACAGCCACCTCCCCAGCGCAGGGCAGGTGTTGTGGGGAAAGAGTCAACCAGGGTGTTACTTTGCAGTCGCTGCTGGAAGCATGTTTCCTTCAGGGTGAAGGCAGGTGGCTGCCCAGGGGGTACCTCACCCAGGACATCTGTTCTCACAGTGCTTCTCTCTCAGTTACTCTCAAGTCTGACTTACCCAAAACCTCTGCCTGCTGGGTGAAAGGAAGCATGAGGCTGGCTGAGGGTCTCAAGGCTGCTCTGAGGACAGCAGACCCTACAAACCGATGGATGTTCACCCCACAGTTGTCCCTCCACTGCCACTCATGTCAGCAAAACCAAACCTTGGATTCCATTTGGGTTCTCCTTCTGCCTTCTCTTGTTCCTGATTCTGCTGTCATAAAAAGTTGTTAGAAATAACCACCCTCTAATAGGCCTCACTGGTTCTAGGTGTTGACACTATGGCTGTTGTTGATTGGGGTGGTTGAAATGGAGTCGTTTCCTAGAGCAGGGCAAGGCCACTGAAGCACTCAGTAAGCAGTTGCTTCCACCTTGAAGCAGAGGCGCTTGGTAAGGCAGAGCACCTGAATGCTCTGTATTGCAGGGAGGACTTGCAAGTGGAGTATATACTTTTTGTTCTTTCCTATAGTGGCAGTTAATGGTCTCTAAAACATGTTCTGTAGAATCTTAAGATGTTAATATTTCTGCCAAAAAAAAAAAGTATTCTTCTTTGGTCAAATACATTTGGGAAAGCCAGCACACCCTAGGCCCCTGCTGAAAATTTGCAGGGTACAAAGTATTCCGAAGGCTCTACAAAGTCCTGTTCTTCTTTTTACTTCTATGAGATAAACTTTTTTAGCTTTGGCATATGAGTGAGAACATGATGTGTTTAACTTTCTGTTCCTGGCTTATTTCACGTAACATAATGTCCCCCAGTTCCATCCATGTTGCCATGAATGCCAGGATTTCATTCTTTTTTTATGGCTGAATAGTATTCCATTGTGTATATGTGCCACATTTTCTTTATCCAGTCATCTGTTGTTGGGACACCTAGGTTGATTCTGTATCTTGCTATTGCTAACAGTGCTGCAGTAAACATGGGTGCAGATATCTTTTCAATATAGTGATTTCCTTTCCTTTGGATAAATGCTCAGTAGTGAGATTACTGGATCATATGGTTCTGTTTGTAGTTTTTGAGGACCCTCCACAGTATTCTCCCTAGTGGCTGTCCTAGTTTACATTCTTACTAACAGTATATGAGAGTTCCGTTTTCCTTGTATCCTCACCAGCATTTATTTTCTTTTTTTTTTGTCTTTTTGATAATCATTATCCTAAGTGGGGTAGGATGATGCCTCATTCTGGTTTTTATTTGCATTTCCCTGATAACTAGTGATGCTGAAAGTTTTACATGTATTTGTTAGCCATTTGTATGTCTTCTTTTGAAAAACATCTGTTCAGATGTTTTAAATTGAATTGTTTGTTTTTTTGCTGTTGAGATGTTAGAGTTCCTTGTATATTCTAGATATTAATACCCTATCAGATAAGTAATTGCAAATATTTTCTCCTATTGGGTAGGGTGTCTTTTCACTCTGTTGATTGTTTCATTTGCTGTGCAGAAGACTTATAGTTTGATATATTCCCATTTATTTATTTTTGCTTTTGAGGTCTTATTCATAATTTTTTTCCCAGACCAGTGTCCTAAAGCATTTCTCCTGTTCTGGTCATTTTATAGTTTCAGGTCTTTTGTTTTGTTTTGTTTTGTTTTGTTTTGTTTTGTTTTGTTTTGTTTTGTTTTTTTCTGAGACAAGGTCAGGTTCTATCGCTCAGGCCGGAGTGAAGTGGTGCAATTTCAGCTCACTATAACCTCTACTTCCTGGGCTCAAGCCATCCTCCCACCTCAGCGTCCTCAAAAGCTAAGACTACAGGCACACACCACCATGCCCAATTAATTTTTGTGTTTTTTTTTAACAGAGGTGGCGCTTTGCCATGTGGCCCAGGCTGGTCTCAAACTCATGAGGTCAAGCAATCTGCCTATCTCGGCCTCCCAAAGTGCTGGGATTACTACGCTCTACCAGTTTCAGGTCTAACATGTAGGTCTTTGATCCATTTTTAGTTGATTTTTGTATAGGGTGAGAGGTGGGGATCTAGTTTCATTCTTCTGCATATGGATACACAATTTTCCCAGCACAATTTATTGAAGAGATTGCTTTTTCCCCAGTGAATGTTCTTGTCACTTTTGTCAAAAATCAGTTGGCTGTAAATACACAGATTAATTTCTGAGTTCTCTATTCTGTTTCATTGGTTTATGTATCTGTTTAAAAAAAGAACAGGCTTAATTCACTTTATTTTTCTTGTATAAAAACCCTGTGTTACTTTGGGAAGCCAAGGCGGGCAAATCACCTGAGGTCAGGAGTTTGAGACCAACCTGGCCAACACTGGTGAAACCCCGTCTCTACTAAACCAGGTATGGTGGCATCTGCCTGTAGTCCCAGCTACTTGGCAGGCTGAGGCAGGAGAATCATGAGAACCTGGGTGGCAGAGGTTGCAGTGAGCCAAGATCACACCACTGCACTCCAGCCTGGGAAACAGAGCGAGGCTCCATCTCAAAAACAAAAACAAAAAACCCTGTGTTGTAGCCACAGCTGGAGCCTGGGTCCTCTGCAGAGACTCTGGTGTGGGTCTCGACAAGATGGTCAGTGAATTCCTGATAGGAAGACTTAGTGACCTCCCAGAGGTCAGGGGTCAGGCAGCTATGGGTCTCGGAGATGGCATCAAAGGTGGCCTTGGCAAAGTTGCCCAGAGTGGCAGTGCAGCCTCTGCTGTGGTGTAGCAGTTGTCAGTACTGGCCATCCGCAGCATCTTCTTGGGGACAGAGGCCAAGAGGATGCCAGTGCCCCTGAGTGCAGGGATATGTTGCAGCAGCAGGGAGCTGCAGCAGCTTGTCATCTTGCAAGGGATAGTGTGGGGCTGGCGATCTTGGTCCTCCAGTAGCCTCTCTGCATGGGGACAATGGAGAGCTTGGCTAGGATGATGGCCCCTCTGATGGCAGTGGCTGCTTCCCTGGAGCACTTAACACCCAGACTGATGTGGCCACTGTAGTCCCTGCTGGCAACAAACACCTTGAACCTCTATGCTGGCTGGGGCTGCCTCTGCACTGCTTAATCTTTAAAAGCTCATCCTTGAGTGAGGCCCCCAGGAAAAAGTCAATGATCTCAGACTACTTGATGGGCAGGGATAAGAGATAGCTCACCTCCAGAGACTTGATCTTCATGTCCTTGACAAGGCAGCCCAGCATGGTGACAGGCATCCACTCCTTGGCCTTGCCTCTGAAAGCTCCACAGCCTTGGTCCCTGCCCCAACTATGGCCACAATCCTAGCCCCAGATGCTGCCGACAAAGCTTCCATAGTTTCCCTTTCTAGGCCCCTGGGTCTTCCTGCTGCACTGGTGTCATCTACCATTTGGTGTTTTCTCAGAGAAGTATGTGTCTGTTTTATGCCAGTACCATGCTGTTTGGTTACCACAGCTTTGTAGTATATTTTGAAGTCTGGTAATGTGATGCCTCCAGCTTTGTTCTTTTTGCTCAGGAAAGCCTTGGCTATGCAGGGTCTTTTATGGTTCCAAATTTTAGGATTTTTTTTTTTTTTTCTACAAAGAATGTCATTGGTGTTTTGATGGAGATTGCACTGAATCTTTAGATTGCTTTGGGTAGCAACAAAGTGACTTTGAGTCAGGAACAGCTAGTGCCCCTCCCCAGGACCACCACGCTGCTAGTGGCTTGAGGACTTGCTGCCCCATGGCACATGGGATCAGATCATTCTGTCACACCAAGGAAGGGTACCTGATGACCCTGCAGTCCCCTCTGCCACAAACAAAGGAGCAATTTGGCTTGATGGGGCAGGGACAAGCCAACACAGAGTCTCCTGGTGCCAGCTGGAATCCCGTGGCAGTCCCATATCCAGAGACTGCTGGCTTGGGTCAGACCCACTGCCGCTTGAGCAGAGCCTCGGGACCTGCATCCTCCCGTGGCCTGGGCCTGAGCACTCGCCCTGCCCTTGCAACTGGACATCCACATGGATGTTCAGAGCAGCCAGGCAGCACCTCTGACCTCCCCACCTCCCTAAACGGGCAGCTGTGGTTGCCGGCACCACTCAGACGCCCTCCCTCAGTGCCGGCTCCAGGCTGTCTCCTCAACATGTATGTTCTGCTTTTCCTCTCAAAGCTGGAAGGACTTTAGATGTGGGACAGATTGGCCCCATGTAGGTCATGAGCTGATAACAGTCACTCAACTGCACGAGCGGAGTTTTATAGATAACCTACCTCATCAGGGTGACTTATCAAGATATGCTCATTGATAATTAGGTAACCGAAGCCAAATTTTTTCACCCACAGCCCCTAGTCCCTCCTCTGAACATCCCCATCTTGCTATAGGCTTAGTAGACATTTTGTCAAAGGCTTTCAATCAAACTGCCTGGGTTCAAATCACAATTCTATCACTTATAAGCTGTGTGTCCTTATGTCTCTGTGCCTCAGTTTCCTCATCTGTAAAAAGGGAACCATAATAGTACCTACTTTACCAGGCTGATGTGAAGATTAAAAGAGCAAACATGAGTTCAGTGCTTCTCAGAGGGCTGGCCCTCAAGAGGTCCCCAGTCAATGTCAGTGATGTTTTTTTTTTTGAGACAGGGTTTTGCTCTGTCAACCAGGCTGGAGTACAGTGGCATGATCATGGCCCACCTTGACCTCTTAGGCTCAAGTAATCCTCCCACCTCAGTCTCCAAGTAGCTGGGACCAACAGACGTGCATCACCATGCCTGGCTAATTTTTTAATTAGCATTTGTAGAGATGGGAGTCTCGCTATGTTGCCCAAGCTCGTCTCAAATTCCAGGGCTCAAGTAATCCCTCCACTTCAGCCTCCCAAAGTGCTGTTGGTATTACTCATATAGCCAGAGCATATTTTTCCTCCTGAGAAGAGTTGGCCACGTTTTTTGTTGCTTAGATATAAGGAGACTTAGACCATGGTATAAGGTCCTGGGGAGTCTCTTCCTGTAACTGCAGGTGTAAAGCCACAGGAATGGCAGTCAGTTGGCACCAGGCAGAGCCAGCTGGGGCTGGAGGGAGGGCTGGCCACTGAAAATGCCAGCTCAGCCTGCTTCTCTGCTGTTGGCCTCTGGATTCATCTTTTTCTGTGTGTCCCAGGCATTAGAAATTGAGCACATTTCAGTCCTGTGCCTTCTGGGTGTCACAGACATGGGAGCTGTGCTGGGAGGGATCTCCACCCACCCCAAGATGGTCCATCTGGGGAATTCCAGACTGGTCACTCAGGGACAGCCTTAATTCCCAGGGAAGGTGGTATTTTCCTGTGTCTGGTCAATAGCAATTAGCCGCATTTAACAGCCTAGGGAAAGATGGCTGGTGTCATGGTGACCCTGTCACCACACTGCTATGTTGGGTGTCTGTCTGGGCCCCAGGACAGAGGCTGTGGAAGTCAGGGACTGCTGGCCCTCTGTGTCTACAGAACTTAGCCCCATATCTGGCAGAGTGAAGGCTCGGTGAGCACACACTCTCGCTCATTCTGCAGAAGACGCCTGGCATCTGTGCTGCACATTGTATACTGTTGCTGGCACTGAGGAGGCACATGGTGGTGAAAAGGCCATCCCTGTCCTCCTTCATGAGCTTATATGTAGTGTGAATAGTCACGTCAGCAAATACACATCAGCCAGATAGTTGGAAATTGTGATGAGGCTCTGACCTGATAAATGTGGCGTGTGATCCAGAGACACTGGTTTTTCAGGAAGGTGATGAGAAAGGGCCTCTCCCAAGAGCTGACAGTTAAGCTGAAATCTGAATGACAAGGACAAGCCAGGCACATGGAGACCTGGGAAGAGCGTGTCTGCCAGGCGGAATATCAGCTGGAAGAAGCAAGGCTGGGTGATTGGGGAACAGCTCAGAGGCTGCCGCTGAGCATGAGGAGTGAGGGGCCTGGGGGTGGGAATCGCCCATATGGGCAGGACCAGCCACGAGAGTCTGGGGGACTATGGGGAGGAGCTTACTCTAGGGATCAGGAAAGCCACTAGAAGATGTTGTGCAAAAGTGTGCAGTGATGGGGTTTGGGTTTTCAAGGGTCCCCCTGGCTGCCAGTGGAGGACAGACTGTAAGAGAACAGTAAAGAGGTGAGCCGTCCAGGCCAAGAAAGATGATGGCTTGTCTTGATGGTGATGTGGAGACAGAAAGAAGCCGAGAAACTGGCAGTGGAGTGAATAATGCATGCACTAAAGCAGGCCCTGACAACAAAGTGTCTCTGCCTGGACCCTTGACGCCTACACTCCTTCCAGAGACATAGACATGCTGCTGCTGGACCCCAGCGCAGACATCTGGGACAGCCTTCTCAGCAGGCAGACCCCAGGGATGGGGCCAGGTGCCCAGCCTAACCCTGCTGACTTTGTGACCATGCATCAGTGGATGTGCTGCTGCAAACTGGGCGGCATTGTGCTGAATCAGAAATGGTGGTTCCAATACCCCCACAGTACTCATCATAGAGACTCTAAGGTTAAGAAGACCGCCAGGGGAAATCTCGGACTTCAACCTCCATCTGTAACTGCTTCTCTTAGCGCCAGAAGCGTCCGTATAATTGAACTTTTAGAAACCAATGTGTTGGAAAGTTGAAACCATCTAATTATCATGAGCTTCTCTTTAACTGAGCCCCACTGGGTGCCCCCGCAGGTGCTTTGTTAGCCTATTTTGTCTGCCAGCAACCTTGCAAAGTGGGTTACTGTCCCCTTTGGCAGTTGAGAACACTGAGGCTCTGGGAGGTTGTCAGGCTTACTCTCAGAGCCTCAGTCCAGCACAGAGCTGGGCTGGACCAAGTCTGTCAGGCTCCAAGCAGTGCGCCCCTCCCCCCTCTCCCTTCTCGCCCAGCTCTGCCTCACCTTGCTCAGCTCCATCTCCACCCTGTGCCACCCAGTCCAACTCCGCCCCCCTTTCCCCCTTCCCCCCTCCTTCCCTTCCCTCCTCCTGCCATGCTCAGCCTGCCCCGCCTACCGCGCGCACGTCCTCAGACAGGTCCTCGTCCAGGTCGCCCTTGATAGCCTTTTCCAGGGTGCTGATAGAGATCTCCAGGACCTTCTCGTGGTGGTGGTTCTCCAGGTCCCGGCACTGGGCCATCGTGCAGCCGTAAGTTAAGCAAAGGCCAGGGAGGAGCAGGCCCGGGGCGTCCCTGACATGCTCAGAGGGCCGGGGACAGACTTTAAGGGCCCAAGGTGAGCTCGGAGATTCCGGCTGGCAGCACCGTCCACCCACAAGCACCAAACTCTGGGCCATCCCAGACTCCCACCCCCGCCCACACCTGGTCATCACTGATGGACCCTCAGCCCCTGCCATCATGCCACTTCTCTCCCTCCTGCATGGAGGCTGTTGGCGCTGGCCTCTGGGCTAACTGCTTCTCACCCTGTGCACTTGGGACCGCTTGTCGCCTCTATAACTTGTCTCCCTGAGGGACTGTGAGCCTCAGGAGGGCAAGACCAGAGGGCTGCTTCTAGCTCGATCACAGCAGTTTGCCCCATGTGGAGTGCCTGAGTTCCGGTGGAGGAAGGTTGGCCATGCTCCAGCGTGGGCTCCTCACTTTAGCATTTCACCTTATAGTGATGCACTCCTTATAGTGTCTTCCATGTAGGGGTTGCCTGCAACACAGGGGGCATCATCTCCCAGTGAACATAACCCATATGAGAACAATCATGCTGGGACTCTACTGCAAACAGCCGGTCCCTGTGCAGAAGTCCCTCTGAGCATCCAAACCACAGCTCTAACCAGGCCATCATTGTTCTGAAAGTCGGGAAACCCTCTCAGACCCTGTGGAACATTCTTTTGAGCACGCTAAGTGGTTGCCAAATCTACAGCCTTTGAAGGTGAGCTTTTTCTTGGTGAAAAACTGGAGTTTTTACATTCCTCTAATTTCAGAGGTGAAGGAGGATTCCCACTAAATAGGATCCTGTGATGAATTTAAATATCTTGGCAAAGATGCAGATCTTTCTGTAAATCAAACCGAGATTAGGTATTTCTGGTAAAAAGTGAAGTATGATTATAGAGCACTGACTTTTTACTGTCTCTGTCAATGTGTTCGGAGCACTGGGAGAAGCAGGGGCTATGAGAGTGTCCCTGCAGATGGCCACCTGGAAGAGGACACCCCACTTTTTGCATCCTGTTAGTTTGCAAAGAAGCTTTACTCTTCCCTAGCTTTTGTTAAAAATTCGGGTGCCTCCTCCCCAGCTCCTCCAGAGGCCAGGACAACCCCACGGGCTCTGCAGTTCCTCCCCACGGCAGGAGGTCATCACAGAAAGGATATAGGCTTTGGACATTTTCGACAAAGAGTCCCACCAAATCGACAATGTTTCTTTCAAACATGTTTATAGTCTCCTGGAAATGTTAAAGAACACAGTTAATGTGCATATTTAGACAATCAGCACAGAGCAAAAGGTGCTCCTTAGAATTTAGCAACCACCTCCTCTGCTCACAGGCCTTCAGGGTAAAGACCACCCATCTTGACCCTCCTGAGCAGATGGTTGTGAACTGACCCTCTGCTCTCTCTAGAGTTGTTGTTCTCCAACCGTATTAACTCCCTCACCTTCTGAATGTTTAATCCTGTCACCGGATTAAACATTTGCCAGGAACACTTGTCCCTATCTTACTCCCCTTACCTGCCTGCCCAACACACACACAGAGCTAACCCCCCCTCCTTTGGGTTTCTCAGTGACATCTGTGGTTCACCTCCAGGGAAACAGTGGAATGAGCTGTCAGGAGTCAGACTGCCTGGGCCAGTATCTCAGCTCCAGCACTATGTGTAGCTCTGGGAAAGGCATTCCACCTCCTTGGGCCTTACCTTCCTCACCTGTGAAATAGGTTTCCTGCATAATGCCTGTGTTGTGGAGTTGTGGTGAGGTTAAATGAGTCACTTCACACAAAAGGCTTTGCAAGGTGCCTGGCAGAGAGGAGGCCCTCAGTAGGAGCTGGCTATCACCCCAGATCTCTTTCTGTTAGTTGCTGTTTTGTGGCGCTTAGCAAGGCACCTAAGGCCCAAATGGGACTTAGTATTGATTAAAGGAACAATGGAAGATGTGATTTCCAGGCCTGCCTCTCTGGGAGTGCCCCACCCCCATCTGCCATAGACTCCAGGGACTGCAAGGTGGGCAGGGGTGGAATCTATAGGAACATGAGGACTGTCTGCAGAGTGAGCAAATTACACAATTTTCAAACACATGTACATGCTGTTCTAGTGAATAAAAACAGGGTCATTGAAAAGCATGACTGCCCTTGTGGCCTTCTGGCCACCAGTAATACAAGTAGGACAGCACATGGGTTCTGGGAAACGTCTGGATGTCAAAAAGCAATCTCCTTGCATGAAAAAGGTTGGGAGCTACTGCCTCGCCCTCCCCTGGCACTGTGTGCTGCTTCTACAGTGCCTGCGTTCCCCAGTGGGGAGGGAGCACCTGCCCTGTGATGTGATGTGGAAATCTATCCCATGTCTGAGGTGTCACTTGACGTGTGAGGAATTGATTAGGCACTATCTCTTGGCCCAGCCACAGCGGCATCTGATGAGGTTCAATTCATCACACCACTTCAGACTCCTGGCCTCCGCTGCCTTATAACACACACTCTGGCCACTAATGCATTTCAGACAGCGGCGCTTTTCATTTCCACTACTTAGTGCTGAGTTGCAGCCTCCTCCCATCGCCTGAGAAGCGGCAAGTGCAGGCTGCAATGCGGCAGAGCCTTTGTTTGGTCCCCAAGCGGGGGTCCGTTTTGCCTTTAGAGTACCTGGATAGATCCTTGGGTCTCATCGAAAACCTCTCCCCACTGACTTCCAGGTTAGAGGGAACATTTCAGAGGAATGAGCTCACCTCTCATTTTCCACAAGAATCCCTTCCAATCTAAATGATTAAAATGTATTAAAAGCAAACACAGGACTGATGAGCAAGAAAGCTGCAGCCTGCCACGCTGAGTCGTGCCGGACGTTTCCAGCAGAGGCGTGCCTGTGAAGGCTGCAGTTCACCTATGGATGTGCAGCTGCATCCTCAGATTCTGGCACCTGTGTCCAGGGCCCAGCCTCACCTCCAGCTGCTCCACCAGCTGCATCTCCAGCGTCATGAGTGCATCAAACAACTCACTGATGTCAGTGCTGCATTCCAGGATCATCTTCTCAATGTTGGGCATCTCCAGCTCCTCTCGAATGGCACTTAAACTCTGGAAACAATAGACTGCACTTTAGGAATCAACAACTAAGTACGGTTAGATAATGGCAGGTGCTAATTTGGTTTTGTGGGTAAGAATTTGGACTCTGGAGTCAGCCTGCCCGAGTACAAGTCTCAGCTTTGCCATTTGCTGGCTTTGAGAGATTGTGGAAGCTATGTCCACAGTCTCCGTGCCTCAGTTTCCTGCTCTGTAAAGTGCAACTGGCAGCCCCTAACTCGACACAGGGAAGAGAACATATGTCAGGCTCTTTGGGCACTAGCAAGCACTCACTCCCTGTTAGCTCCGGTTTCTACTGGAGGCTGCTAGGCAGGGTGGAAGGAGCCATGGCTTTCATGGGTTTCAGAGCATTTCACACCAAAATGTGCCACTTTGGCATAGTGATTATTTTGAGTTAAAGATACTTAAAAACAGAAAATATGAAGAGGACACCCTGACCTCCCTTTTTCTTCCTGAAAGCAGGAGTTACATCTCCCATGGGAAAGGTGCCCTCCCTGTACCAGGAGGAAGGAAGCCATTCTAATCAGAGGCAGGGAGTCCAGGCCAAGGGGAATCTGTTTGAACAAACCTTGTTAAACTAACCCTCATCTGCCTCATCACTTATCTATGATGAACTGCCTTAGCCCAAACCTCTTTGTCTTGTTAGAATTCTCACAATTCACTACTCTTTGTCCAACCAAGTATATAAGCTTTCAGCCTTAATGGCTTCTTGAGCCTTCATTTTGCTTGTGAATGCTCCCAGGTACATGTAAAAGTTACTAAATAAAAGTTGTATGCTTTTCTCTTGTTTGTCTTATGTCAGTTTAATTCTTGGTCCCAGTTGGTGACCTTAATAGGCTAGAGGAAAAAATTTACCTGCCTTACAGCTTCAGAGTTAGGTGGACCTGAATTTGAATCCTTCCCGGGTCACTTAGTAGTGTGACCTTGAGAGACCCACTTTCATTCTCTGACTCAGTTTCCTCCCTGTAAATGGGAAGAAGCATCTCTGTCTTGCAGGGTCCTGGGGATCAGAGGCCGTGTGCAGGAAGCACCTGGTGCACAGGCTGTTGTCCACGCTGGTCTCAAACTCCTGACTTCAGGTGATCCACCTGCCTCGGCCTCCCAAAGTGCTGAGGTTAGAGGCGTGAGCCACCATGCCCGGCCAAGTAATAACTTTTTTAAAAAGAAAGGTCTGGTCTGACGGTAGTAGGTTATCACAACTTACTAAATTTGGTGTCACTAAAGCTGGTATACAATCTCCCACTGCTAACTTTGATTAGCTTAAAAAAAAAAAAAAAGAAACAGCCAGGTATGATGTATTCCTATAGTCCCAGCTACTTGGGAGGCTGAGGCAGGAGAATTGCTTGAGCACAGGAGTTCAAGGCTGCAGTGAGCTATGATGGTGCACTGCACTCCAACCTGGGCAACGGAGTTAAACCCTGTTTCTAAAAATAATAATAAATAATTAATTTAGGAAGATAGAGGCTGGGCACGGTGGCTCATGCCTGTAATCCCAGCACTTTGGGAGGCTGAGCTGGGCAGATCCCCTGAGGTCAGGAGGTCAAGACCAGCCTGACCAACATGGAGAAACCCCATCTCTACTGAAGATACAAAATTAGCTGGTGATGGTGGTGCATGCCTGTAATCCCAGCTACTTGGGAGGCTGAGGCAGGAGAATCGCTTGAACCTGGGAGGTGGAGGTTGCAGTGAGCCAAGATCAGGCCATTGTACTCCAGCCTGGGCAACAGAGCAAAACTCTGCCCTAAAAAAAAAAAAAAAAAGAGAGAAAGAAACCAAAAACCAAACAGAAAAGTGGGCAAGGGCAAAATATAAGTACAAATCATTCACAGAATAAGAAACACAAATGGTTGTAAAACATGTATTGCTCATCCCCACTTAAGGGAAAATAAACGAATACTCAAGGTGCACAGATTGGCAAACACGAGGAAGCCTGTGACACTGGCCTGACAATGGCTGTGGAAGGTACAGGTTCTGTGGGTTACAGCTGGACAACAACCATGAAAAGCACCGATGCACAGTTCTGCTTCTAGGACTTCATCCTGCAGGTCAAACTGGCACCAACTTATTCAGTGCAACACTAAAAGAGCAAAAGGTTGGGGAAAAATCTAACTGTCCCTCAGCAGGGACTGGCTAAATAATTATGGCTCATCCATGCAATGCGATATTTTAGTTACAAAAAAATGAAGCAACTTTTTCATTTGGAAAGCAAATTACAGAACAGAGCATGCTATGCACACACACACACACACACACACACACACACACACACACACATACAGGGGTGGGAGGGAGACGGTCTCCCCCGGTGGACATTCTTCAGTCTGTGCCATGCGCACATACCACCTATTCGAGAGTGCATCTGACTACACACAGACACGCTGTCGTCCTTTTTGGCTGACTGCTCAGGCCTTGCACAAATGCTTTCCCTTTCTGTCTCTGTTTCTCACTACAGTTCTTCAAGGTTGTCTCTGTTCTGCAAATGAGGAAATGGAGGCTAGGAGAGGGTCAATAATGTGTCTCTGGGTCACCAGTGAGGAGTCTGCCTGAGCCCCAAGCCTTATATGGCTGCACCACGACTCTGAAACGTGGCTCACTGGGCACCTGGAGCAGCGTGCTACGTGCAATAGATGAGGCCTAATGGGGGTGAGTGAGAGGAGCGGAGGAAAAACTACAGGAGAGGGCCTGTCAGGCAGGGAACTGGGGGTCTGCAGGGCTCGTGGAGTCTTGGGAACTTCCAAGTCAGTGGCCTCTATCTAGGCTGTGCATGGAAAGCACCTGGGAACTCTGTCTGGGAAACCCCTGTGCCAGGCCATGCCCCAGTCTAAGTGGGTGCTGTTGGACCTGGATGTGAACAGGTTTCCAGAGTCTAAGGACTCCACACGCAGGCTGGGCAGAATCCACTGCGCTCAGCTCTAGAAGGGGAGCACTGGGGTAGTCAGCTCATCCCAGGTGGCCTTTGAGGAGCCGGCCTGCACTGAAGGCACATGCCTGAACAGAAGAGCAAGTGGCACATTCCATGTTTCAAGTCAGGCTTGGTTTGGCATGGCCCACGCCCTGCTTCTGCAGAGGGACTCGCTACTGAGGGGCCGGGTCCCTGCGCTGGGATTCAGGAGGAGCCAGCTAGCTGACATTTAGGCATCCCAAGCCCAGTGGCTACAGGGACCAGGCAGGAAGGCTGGATAGGGACTGAGGGACTGGAGATATGACCTGTCCAGAGGGGACAACTGCCACTCAAGCCCTGATTACAACTGCTTCCGGAGAAGCTGGTAACCACAATTTTTCTGTGAAATCTGCTAGTTTCTAATGTCAGCAGGATGTTCATGTTTTAAAACCCTCTGCAGGCCAAATAAAACACATATGTGAGCCAAATGGATTCCTCCACTGACAGTTTTAAATTTCTGCTTGAACGCAGTAACCCCTGCTCCCTAAAACATGATAAGGAGGGTCTTGAGAGTTAAATCACACAGCATGTGAGGCCTGGAGTTAATGAGACAGGAACGCAGGTGGCCGAGGGGGAGGCGGGAAGCACATGGGAGTGGACCGCCTGCTCCATCAGATCTGAAGTTGCACACTGGGGACTTTGCTCTACTTTAAGCTCACAACAAGGAAGGGCCTTATGGGCTCCTTAAAGCCCCTTATGCTGCAGGAAGCTTGGTGTGTGTGAACACTTTTTTGAGGAAAAAGAAGGTTTACAGTTTTCCTTAGCGTCTCATAAAGATCTGTGATTTAGAATAGTCTAAGCATCCTGTCTGTAAAATGAATGCCAACTGAAAGAGGTGGCTGCCATCAAGTACAAAGACTGGTGCACTTCCCAATGGCCCCTGCTTGGGCTGGACCCCGTGGCCTGGTTAGGCTGAGTCCTGACCACCCGGAGCCTTCTCCTTTGCTGCTCCTGGTAGGTGGAGGAATGCCCTCCCTCCCTCCCTCCCCATCAACTTATCTTTTTTCCATGAGCCTCAGCCTTCCCTAAACTCCTCAGCCTGAGATAAGGCACCCCTAGGGCACCTGCAAGCCTCCCCAGGCTTCCCTCCAGGATGGCACTGATCCCTCTGTTTGCTTAGGTGGGGGCTGGGGCCTCGGCCAGGGTCTGAGACCCACAAAGGCAGGAACCACATCCAGTGTGGCTCCAGCTTCCTAGGGCCAGGCAGAGAGTAGAGCTCAGAAAATGTCTATTAAATGAATGAATGAACAAAAGAAAAGGATAGTAATCGTTACTGTGAAAATAGTAATGGTAATACTAATACAGTTATTAATAGTAATGATGATGATAAGTTGGGAGGTGGGGCTGACCTTGAATCCCAAGGGCGTTTTGTGTGACAAGGACCTACAAGCCACATGTCAAGCAGCGGGGAGCTGTGGTTGGTGGTGCTGGGGTAAGGCGGGCCTTGGTTCTGCCACTGATTAGCTGTGTGTTCGCTGGCAAATGGGGACAATAACCATGGGCCTCGGGTCATCAAAGGGTATAGGAGTTGCAGCCCCTCTACAGTGGGGGTGGCAGGGCCAGGGAGAGCCTACAGCAGGAGGCAAGGAGGGCCTCAGGTGGCTCGGGGCCTACCATCAAGTGCTTCTCCTCGAATTTGGCAATCTTGCGTTTGCCCTGCTCCTGGTTTTCCTGGATGGCCTCATGGACACATTCATTGAAGGTGTCAAGCTCTGTTTTCCGCTTCTCCTGCTGTTTCAGGCCATACTCAAAAATGTTCACACAGATGATGACAAACTTGTCCCTGTAGGTGAGTGGCCGTTAAGGAAGCCCACAGCTGTTTCAGGAGCAGGCTGCCGGGGTTATGGCAAAGGTGTTGGTAAGCCTGGCACAGGGCAGAGACTGTGCCCTCAACAGTGTGTGGGACTCAAACTCCTGGAGTCATTTGGTTCATTTGGTGGATGAAGAAATCAAAGGCCCAGAGAGCCAGGAGCCAGGATTGAGCTGTGAGTACAATGCCTGTTTGGTGCCTTCCTACCCCCAGCCTGAGGGATTCAGGAATGGGGCCTGTGTGAAGAAAGAAGGCAGGGGCCTTCATGGAGTCTACAGAGCAGAAGACAGGCATGCTCAGAGAGGCCCCAGAAGGGAGGCCTGGGAACCTGGGGACCTGCGAGCCGGTCCCAGCTGGGGAAGGCCTATAATCCCTATAATCGTGCCTATAATCCCAGCACTTCGGGAGGCCAAGGCAGGAGGATTGCTTGAGGCCAGGAGTTTGAGACCAGTCTAGGCAACATAGTGAGACACTGTCTGCATTAGTTTGTTTCACGCTCCTGAGGAAGACATACCCAAGGCAGTGTGCATTTCTGTCTCTGGTGTGCTATCTGGAAGGGCACCCTTACTGAGGGCCTGTCTTGGTGCTCAGCTGCACTGGGGATGTTCAAGTCCTGGCTCTGCCACTGCTTCCAGGACCCACCCTGGCAAGTCACTTTACCTCTCTGGGCCTCAGTTTCCTCATCTGCTGCTGATGGTGCAAAAGAGCCTGCCACATGGAGTCCTTAGAGTCGGACAGGTAAAACCCACAGGGCCTTGGTGATCCTGTGAGTTGGAAGCTGATGCCCAGAGAGATGAAATGTCTTGCCCGAAGTCACATAGCTATATAGTCCTACAGGAAAGGCAAACCCGGGTCACTGGCTGGCAGAAACAACCCATCGAGGGAGCCCTGCTCTTCACTGCTCCTCCCCACCCTGCCCTCATTCTTTCTAGAATGTCAGGTGTGAGTGTTTGGTTTGTTTTTAGAGCTGGTGATATGGTTTGGCTGTGTCCCCACCCAAACTCATCTTGAATTGTAACTCCCACAATTCCTACGTGTTGTGGGAGGAACCTGGTGGGTGGTAACTGAATTATGGGGGTGGATCTTTCTTGCCCTGTGCTCCTGATAGTGAAGGAGCCTTCCAAGATCTGATGGTTTTAAAAATGGGAGTTTCCCTTCACAAGCTCTCTTACTTTGCCCACCACTATCCATGTAAGACATGACTTGCCCCTCCTTGCCTTCCACCATGATTGTGAGGCCTCCCCAGCCATGTGGAACTGTAAGTCCAATTAAACGCCTTTCTGGCTAGGCATGCCTACAGTGGCTCATGCCTGTAATCCCAGCACCTTGGGAGGCCGAGGCAGGTGGATCACCTGAGGTCAGGAGTTTGAGACCAGCCTGACCAACATGGTGAAACCCAGTCTCTAGTAAATACAAAAAATTAGCTGGGTGTGGTGCCACATGCCTGTAATCGCAGCTACTTGGGAGGCTGAGGCAGGAAAATTGCTTTAACCCAGGAGGTGGAGGTTGCAGTGAGCCAAAACTGCACAGTTACACTCTAGCCTGTGCAACAAGAGCAAAACGCCATCTCAAAAAACCCAAAAAATAATAAAAAAAAAAAACCCAAAGCCTCTTTCTTTTGTAAATTTCCCAGTCTTGGGAATGTCTTTATAGGAGTGTGAAAACAGACTAATACAGACAGTGTCTCACTATATTGCCTAGACTGGTCTCAAACTCCTGGCCTCAAGCAATCCTCCTGCCTTGGCCTCCCAAAGTGTTGGGATTATAGGCATGAGCCACCCCACAGGCCCAGAATGTCAGGTTTTTGAGTGAATTTCTCTCTATCCAGTGAAGGTGGCTCCACAGACTCATCTGTGACTGGATGCCTTAGCTCAGAGCTCTCAGATTCAGGAGCTCCTCAATTCTGTCCTGAGTCCCTCAGCTTACAATTTAAGCCCATTGGTTGATGGTCATGGCCACAGCCCTAATGACAGGTACCAACCACATTCTCTGGGCTCCAGGCAACTGGGGAAAGAATCAGCTTCTCAGGCCCCACAGATAAAGCTTCAAAAGCTGGTCTCTAGGCTGGGTGTGGTGGCTCACGCCTGTAATCCCAACACTTTGGGAGGCCAAGGCAGGTGTATCACGAGGTCAGGAGTTCAAGACCAGCCTGGCCAAGATGGTGAAACCCCATCTCTACTAAAAAAAATACAAAAATTAGCCAGGCACGGTGACTCGCACCTGTAATTTCAGCTACTCAGGAGGCTGAGACAGGGAATTCCTTGAACCCAGGAGCTGGAGGTTGCAGTGATCCGAGATTGTGCCACTGCACTCCAGCCTGGGCAACAGAGCAAGGCTCTGTCAAAAAAAAAAAAAAAAAAAAAAAAGCTTGCTTCTAATTGGGTGACCCTGGACAGCCAAGCTATGTTGCCCCAACTGTAAAATGGGGTTAATGATGGTACCTGCCTAGGGGAGTGGTTGAGAACACAATGAATTCCAGATGAAAGTGCACAACAGAAACAAGTGAGTTAGGCTAATGAGAGCACATTTCAATCCATTTCTCCACCTCTGAAAACCTGGCTGGCCAAGCATGGCCAGCCCATGCCATGCTGAACAGACACTCCACATGTCCCTGAAACCCAGGCAGCATCTCCCCCATGCAGTGCAGCTGACCTGGCTCTGAACTGCCTCTTGGATACATTGCTCTCAAGTGGAGATTTTACTTCCCAGGGTCTTATAAGACAGATGGAGAAACTGAGGCCTAGAGCAGAAGGGGCCTTGTCCAAGGCAGGCTGATGGCACAGGCTCTGAGATAGCCATGAACTCGGAAGGATATGCCTCAAGGAACTCACTGACACCAGGCAGGGAGGACAGCTTGTTGCCCTCTGAGTCTTCAGCGTACATGCTGTCAAACAGGAAGGAGCCGTTCAGGTGCTCCACAAACGCCGTCTGCGGACAGAAACACACCTGGGCATGGCAGCTCCCGGTAGGGGCCCTTGCATGGTCCCACAGGCCCATGAGGAAGGCAGGTCGGGAGGGAGAGTATTCCAGGCAAAGAGAATGGCATGTGCAGCAGTGCAGAGGCATAAAACTGCAGGCTGTTTCCAGAACGTTACATGTGGCTCAGTCTGGTTGCAAGGAGGGGTGGGGACCGGTGGGAGAGAGGCCAGCAGGTGTCTGGTCATGAATTCAGGGCCATGCTGGGCTAAGGGACCTACACTGTTCCTGGCCTGTCATGGGGAACTGCCTTAAGGGTCTTAAGGGGCCTCTGGCAGACTGTTTTTAGCACATTATCTCCAGCAGCTGGAGGCAGGAATGCCAGTGAGGGGTAGGGTCAGGGTCAGACTGAGATGGAGCTGGCCCTGGGGCAGGCAGCAGGCAAGCCGGGTGGGGAGAGGGCAAGCCAGGCAGGGAGGGAGTATGATCTCCGTGTTTTCAGAGCCTGGGGATCTCTGCGGACCTCTGTTTTATTTGGTCAGTGCCCTCTTGTGGGCAACTCTGAGTGGGGCCGAGGGCGTGTGGCCTGCCCCAGTGGTACCTTGTGCTTCTCCAGCTCCTCCCGCCGCGCCTGCTCCTCCTCCAGCCGGGCCTGCATCAGGTTCTCCCGGTGCTTCAGCTCTTCGATGCTGTAATGGTGCTTAGCCTCCGCAACCTCTTTCTGACCAGGGAATGGGAAGTGCATCGTTACCAGAGGTCCTCCGAGCCACGCCGCCCCTGCCACGCTGCAGCCTCCCGTGCGTGGGCAGGGGTGTTGCCCGGGGCCCTGCATGAAGGCTGTGAAAGCCATGAGGTCTCATGGATGAGAATGCCCATCTCCGCATGACCCTCACCAGGTTTTGTGAGTGCAGGGAAATCAGGGAAAGACCAGGAGGAGCGGAAGGCGGCATGCAGGCTGGGGTTCCCAGGGCCAACTCCAGGGCAGAAGCCACAGCAATGGAGTGCTCCCTTCGCCCCAGACTGGATGTTCTCCACAGAGGACTTGCTCTCTCACTCCCCACAGCCCTCAGGCAGGCCTTCTGGCCCTCTTTTAGGGAAGGAGGACAACAGGACAGGGGTAAAGTAGGGCCATAGGGCTGGTCATGAGGGTCCGACCCTTGACTCTCTCCGCTGCACTGGCTCACCCCCCTGCACCTGGCAGGGAATGCTAGAGCCTCTAGAACTCAGTCCCCACCCCTTCTCAGCTCACTCCACGTGCCCCAGGTGATCTCACTTGTACCATGGCTTCAAATACTGCCAATTGGCAATCCTCGGATGACACTCAGGTCTCTATCTCTGGCCCTGACTCTGCCCCCGAGAGCCAGACCTGAGCCTCTGATGGCCTGATTTCCCCAGGAGCTCAGCTGTTAATATTGCTCCTGGGATGACACCCGCTTGGGGTGAATCCTGGCTCGGCCTTGAGCCAGTGATCCTGGCTAACTGCTTGCCCTCCTTCAACCTCCTCAACTTCTTTTCTCTCTTAATTTTTAAATGTTTTCACTCTATTGCCCAGGCTGGAGTGCAATGGCATCTTCTTAGTTCACTGCAGCCTCAAACTCCTGGTCTTAAGCGATTCCCCTACCTCAGCCTCCTGAGTTGCCAGGACTACAGGTGTGTGCCACCACACATGGCTAACTTTGGTAGTTTTTGTAGAGATGGGTCTCCCTATGTTGCCCAGGCTGGTCTTGAACTCCTGGGCTCAAGCGATCTTCCTGCCTCAGCCTCCCAAAGTGCTGGATTACAGGCGTGAGCCACTGTGCCTGGCCCTCCTCAGCACTCATCTGGAAAACCAGGCAGTACTGGATGGCTGTGAGGTGGCCCTGGCACAATGTGTGGAAGAGGCTTGGCCCCTGGGAACATGCACAGAACAGTACCCACAAAGGTGCTGCTGGAATCACTCTGACTGAGGCAGGTAAAGGGATTAGGAAGAGGGAACTGCCCTTTCTCTCCTGGTTGTGGGCAGGGGAAGCTGCTCTTCCATACCCCTTTTCCAAGAAATTTGGGGGCCTGAGGACTCTGTCTCACAGGGCTGGGAGACTGAGAGGGAGACACTTGCTGTGTGGTCGTCAATGCGCCGGAAGTCCAGGTACACAAGGTCAGGAAGGTAGGCACAGATGAACATCTTGTAATCCTCCGCCTCAGAGATAGGGTTCCCAGAGAGGCTGAGCGTCCGCAGGCAACTGAACCGCCGCAGGTAGATGATCTGGGGAGAGAAAGGAAAAATGGCCCATTTTCTTGGCTGCCACAGAGTTGAAAATACACCTGCACTTCCCTCCAAAGCACTTTCAGGGTTTGCAGCCTGGCCACAGCACCATCAGCACTGGGTGGGGGGACAGGCAGTGTGTGGGTATGGGGGTGTTCTGGGCCGGGAAGCAGTACCAAGACCTTCTGTCAGAAGTGGGCTTTCCAAAGAACCAGCGGATGTGGTTCAGGTCCTAGCCGTGAGACCTTGGACAAGTTACCCAACATCTGTGAGCTTCAATGTCCACATCTGTAAAACAGGTGTAAGAATATCATGTGTGTTACACTTGTTGTAAAGACCAAATGAAATAAGCTATGGAAAGCACTGGAAGAGTGCCTAACACCTTTTTAGCAATGCTAGTTCTAGTTGTTGTTACTAGTGGCGTGATCTCAGGTCACTGCAACCTCCGCCTCCCAGGTTCGAGTGATTCTCCTGCCTCAGCCTCCCGAGTAGCTGGGACTACAGGTGCTTGCCACCACACCTGGCTAATTATTATTTTATTTTATTTTTGTATTTTTAATAGAGACAAGGCTTTGCCATGTTGGCCAGGCTGGTTTTGAACTCCTGACCTCAAGTGATTTGGCCCCCAAAGTGTTGGGATTACAGGCATCGTGACCACTGCGCCTGGCCTGAAGTTTGTTCTAAGGATGGAGGAAGCCATTGGAGTTTTAAGTGTATGGGAGGGGAGGGAGGAGACAGGATCTGATTTAATTTGTAAGAGCTCTCCCAGTGAGACTTCACAAAGTGCATTGTAGAAGGTGAGAGGGGACAGGTTGCCTCATCGTTGCTGGTGACTTTGTAAATAGTTCCACTTCCACTTGGCAAGATCTGTCAAGATTTAAAATGCACATGCCCTTTGACCTAGCATTTCCTCTCTAGTTTATCTTGCAGATGGCTTTTTCAGGTGCAAAGTGACCCCTGTTTAAGGACGTCCACTACAGACTGTGTGCAATGGCACTAGATTGCAAACAACCTCGACACCCACCTACAGGGAGCTGGGAACATACATCATGCTGCACCTGAGTTATGGAATGAGCCAGCAGAGAGGGCGAGCTGACGACTCAGGAGGAAAGGGGACACCAAAGGCAGGTGTTTGGAGGTAGCTGAACAGATGTGACAGTCATGTACAATGTTTAACACAAGACTCTTGGAAAGACACACTTGTAACATAGAAGTGGCTGGGGCCTCTGGAAGGGAAGGACAAAGGCTAGGAGGGAGTGAAGCTCTTCTCTGTGTGATCTGGGTTCTGCTTAAACATGTTTTTAATGTGATGAGCAGAAATTAAAATAAGCCCAATAAATATATAAATGACAAGAAAGTATGTAATTAGATGCCAGATAAACAGTGCCAATAAGGACTAAAATCAAAGATGCTTGGGGTTAGGAGCTAGTACCTGAGAAATATCACTGAGGACTCTCTGGGCCAGGTCACAAGAGGGCTGGTGCTTGATTGAGTGGAGAGGATCTAGGGTCTCCAGGGTCCCTGGGATACGGCCAGACCTCAGGAGCATCTGGCCCAAGACATCTCAGCATTCCCTGGCAGCTTCTCCCCATGGTTCATCTTCCATCCTCTTTCTCTCTGGGGACTAGCTTTACCAGCTTCTCCCATATTCAAGAGGGACTACCTGGCACCCAGCACCCCACTGGGAAACAGCAATGGGATTTCCTCCTGCCCAGTCTCTGCAGGGGCAGGATGGGAGAACGGCCAAGGCAGGAGTGGGCTGTTCCAGCAGGGCGCAGGCATGTTCATCTCACGCCCTCCATGCCCTCTCATGCCCAGGCCTGGGCCTTCAGAAGGACAGGGCCTCAGCTCCGTTACAGTGTCCAAATGTCCAAAGGAAAACAAATCAGAGGAGATTCATTCACATGTAGGTCCTGGGGTGTAGGACCCCCCAAGGCAGGAACATCTATCTACTCACTGCTCGGAGTTTCAAGCAGCAAGCTGTGGAGCTGCTTGGAATTAGCTCTTAATCTGAATTTTTTTTTTTTTTTTTTTTTTTTGAGATTGAGTCTTGCTCTGTCGCCCAGGCTAGAGTGCAGTGGCACGAACTTCGCTCACTGCAAGCTCCACCTCCCGGGTTCAAGTGATTCTCCTGCCTCAGCCTCTCGAGTAGCTGGGACTACAGGCACACACCACCATGCCCAGATAACTTTTGTATTTATAGTAGAGATGGGCTTTCACCATATTAGTCAGGCTGGTCTTGAACTCCTGACTTTGTGATCCTCACGCCTTGGCCCCCCAAAGTGCTGGTATTACAGGCATGAGCCACTGTGCCCAGCTAATCTGAATATGGCAGGCTGGACCGTCAGGACTTGAGCCCTGCAAAGGTTACTGGCTGGGCGTAGATGCTGCCTGTCTGGCATGCAGGGCAAACTTCTGAGACGACACCACCCCTGTGGCTTGGCCCGGCAGAGTTGCCAGTCATAACTGGGAGCTTTCCACCCGAGGCCGTTCGTGTAAGCCACCCAGCCTGGCTGTCTCCCAGCCACGATGTTAGGCTGAGGGTCAGTGTAGGCCCTGATGTGGCTTGATCAGACTGAAGGGCCATCATTGGAAGGAGGGTTCTTGCTTTCTCCAGCCTGCTAGATGCAGACAAGGAAGCCTGTGTCCTTGACTGCAGCCATAAGAGAATCAGGCTCTGGGGAGATGCTGAGGACGGCAGAGCCCAGAGGCAGAAGGAACTCATGTCCTTGAAGCTCTGCTGATAAGCACCACTTCTTTGCAGTGCCAATAATCACGCCACTAAATGCCCTTGTTGTTTGCTGCAGGGGCTCAGCTTACCTCTGGCTTCAGCCGTAGCCATGAGAGACCTTGGCTAGCAGTGTCCTGTCTCATTATTCACTTTCTGCCTCAGAGAGGTCTCTGAAGCCGAAGAAGCCCACCCAGCCCAAAAGCCAGGTGACGAGGAAGTTAATCCCTCTGGGGTGTCCCTCAGCTGTGGGGGAGATCAATGCCTCAGGCTCCTGTCCTTAGATGGTCACCTCTGGAAGGCATTCTGGACACCTTCGAGGCCCAGAGGAATCTGCCCTCCTCACCTGAAGCAGCAGCCTCAGTGACACCTGTGTGCTGGTTCCTTCCTGCCTCCCTTACTCCAGCTTCCTCTCAAACCAGCCTCCTGAGTGCCAGTCCCTGCCCTACCGCTGCTTCCAGGCAGTTTGGAGCCAGCTTCTCTTACCTGCAGGTACGGTATCCTTTCTGGTCACACCGTCCTGGGGTAACCCATTCTCACAATCCCCCCTCAAATCCATCCTCACGGTGGTGGATTCCTTCCTAAATGTAGACCTGCCCCAAATACATCTCAGACAGAAGCCTCTCGTCTCCCACTGCTTCTCTGGCCATCCAGACTGACTGTGGCAAGGCCCTGGCCACATCCTGAGCCCCACCCTGCACCACACACCTGTGACCTCTTCTAGGGACGCTGCACCCCTCAACCGTGCCGTGTGGGCAGGCACTCCCAAGTGTACCTCCAGGCCTTTGCTCGCACCATTCCCTCCTCCTGGGAAGCCTTTTCCTTCTGCTGGATGGCAAAATTCCAGTCATCTCTCAGTGGGTCTGCATCCAGTTTCCCCTCATTCCAACACTGGCAGGAAGGCCCTCAGCTACGACAGTCCTCCGTTTATTTGTTAGGGACACACTCCAGCCTGACACGGAACCAAGTGCGTTACATTCGTGACCCTACTTGGTTCCTGCTAGGGCCTGGGCAGGTGGGTCATGGCCATCATCTCCATCTGACAGATGAGGAAACTGAGGCATAGAAGGCTTGATCCTTGGTTGGGTTTAGATGTTCCTGTCTGTCATGCAGGGCAAACTTCCAAGACTACACTGCTTCCGGGGTTTGGTCCTGCTGGACAGACTTGAATGCAGGTCACAACTTGGTGCTTGACTCTCCCAGGCCACTCATCTAAGCCACCATGGCCTGCAGCTAGGATCTGAACCCAGGCCATCAGACTGACCTAAGCAGAAAAGCAATCTTTAAAGGCTACTGGATAGCCCCCAGGGCTGGTGGGCTGCAGAAGTAGGCCAGGAGCCATCTGATGTGTCTCCCCTGACACAGGACCCCTTGTAGCTGCTGCCACACCCCCAGCTGTGTCCACTGCCACTTGTGCACACCCCTAAGCCTCAGGTGCCCTCCCACCACCTGAGGCTCAGGCTCCTGTCCTTGTTTTATTGTTCCTCAGGGCACTGGCTTCTTGTCTCCTTGTCTTGGCTATGGGGGTGTGTGTTGGTCACTCCAAAGGGACCACATCTTGTCTCTCTGTTTCCAGTGAGCACAGGACATTTGCCCAACACCAATTGGTACTTGCCTCAGCAAATGTTTGGTAAATAAGCCTAAGACTCAGGGAAAGAACCGCCACCGATGCGGAGGTTGTAAACTAGTGCCCTCCAATGAATTTTGTTGGGTTAAGCATGGTGTTTAAACATTAGCAAATCCCTTGCGGAGTAATCTGGATTCCTGGCTTTTCCAGGAAAATGGGAAGATCTGGAACACACAGCCTGCACTCCCTCTTACCACAGACCCCCACCCAACCCACGGTGCTCCAAGGCCCTGCAGGTGTGCGTGAGGGCGGGTGGGGCGGCCACTCACGTTCATCATGTTGTCAATCTGGTTGTTGCCTAGCGACAACACCTGCAGCTTGACAAGGGCATCCAGGGAGTCAATACTGGAGATGCGGTTGTTGAACAAGCTCAGGTCCTCCAGGTTCACCAGTGTGTCCAGCCCCTCAATGGTCTCAATGTTGTTGAAGGACAGATCTGGGAAGAAGGGAGGGCTGTGAGGGTCTGCTGGCTGGGTCAGGGGATGGGCTATCCTGAAATAAAATCATCAGGGCCATTGAGTGCCCTGTGACCCAGCACCAAGCTGCCAGGGCCAGAATTTGACGTACTGTCTAACAGTTGGTGATTTTTTAGAAGCCTGGTGTGGATTCTTTCCTGCAGCCTCAAATGTTCACCACCCTCTCCTGTTCTGCCAATCATCCTCCTGGCTGGGGACATTGGGCAAATATCGGTGTCTAAGCTCTGTCACAGTTCTGGGAGGAAAATGCTAACCCACAGGTCTGAAGCAGTGCCCTTGAGGGTCAGGAGTACACAGTGGTGGAGGGTCCCCTTTCCTTCACACCTGTGACATTTTAGCAAGACCACCTTCTGTCTGCTTTGCGTTTACCAGTTTATCAAGCACTTATGTATATCCTCTGACAGCAGCCCTGAGTGTAGTTTGGAACTTCTCTCCTTGTTTGAACATTTGGGAAGCAGAAACCCAGAAGGGCTTGGTGATTTGCCCAAAGCCACACAGCTAACCACAGTGGGGCCACAGTTCATCTAAGGCTTCTCCCTGGACATGTGGCAGGTCAGGTTCTTCCAGCTCCATCACAGCCGTCTCAGGCTCCCTCATCAAAGGTAACCTCAACCCCAACCGAGACTTTAGTTCCACATCTTTGGGAATAAAAAGTACCTTCCCCTCCTTTTTTTTTTTAGACAGGGTCTCACTCTGTTACACAGGCTTGAGTGCAGTGGTGCAATCACAACTCATTGCATCCCTGACTTCCTAGATTCAAGTGATCCTCCTGCCTCAGCCTCCTGAGTAGCTGGGACCACAGGTGTGCACCACCATATCCAGCTAATTTTCCAAAAAATTTTATAGAGACAGGCTCTCACCACATTGCCCAGGCTAGTCTCGAACTCCTAGGTTCAAGCGATTCTCCTACCTCAGCCTCCCAAAGTGCTGGGTTTATAGGTGTGAGCCACCATGCCAGCCCTAAAAGTACTTTGTCCCCACTACAGGTTTTCAGGGTTAGTTGGCAGGTGGGGCTGTTATCTTGTCCTGGAACACCAGTGGCCTAGAGGCCAAAAATGGGCATTTTCCTGGGCTTGGAAATATGAGCATGATAACCACAGTGATCACATTTAAAAGGTGATTTGGGGCTGGGCACGGTGGTTCACACTTGTCATCCCAGCACCATGGGAGGCTGAGAGTCAGGAGTTCAAGACCAGCCTGGCCAACATGGTGAAAGCCCTTCTCTATTAACAATACAAAAATTATGGGGGTGTGGTGGCACGCGCCTATAATTCCAGCTACTCAGGAGGCTGGGGCAGAAGAACCACTTGAACCTGGGAGGCAGAGTGGGCCAAGACTGTGAGATTGTGCCATTGCACTCCAGCCTGGGTGATGAAGTGAGACTTTGTGTCAAAAAAAAAAGAGGTGTTTTGGGAGATGAGTTTAACCACATCTTAATTTAGCCTCCTCCACATATGAGGGGATGCTCACCTGTTGACATTGAGACCAATGATAACTCGGTCCTTGTTCTATGCCAGGCCCTTTAAGTGCATTATCTTGTTTAATCTTCATAGCATAGATATAATCATCCCCATTTTATAGATGAGGAAACTGAGACTCAAATGGGCTTCACGGTAATATGCTCCAGGTAGTACAGCACTTAAAGAAACTGAGGTTCAGGCCAGGTGCGGTGGCTCACGCCTGTAATCCCAGCACTTTGGGAGGCCGAAAAGGGTGGATTGCTTGAGGCCAGTAGTTCAAGACCAGCCTGGTCAACATGGCAGAGCCCCGTTTCTACTAAAAATACAAAAATTAGCCAGACATGGTGGCACATACCTGTAATCCCAGCTACTTGGGAGGCTGAGGGATAAGCAGCACTTGAACCTGGGAGGCAGAGGTTGTAGTAAGCTGAGACTGTGCCATTGCACTCCAGCCGGGGCGACAGAGCAAGACTCCATCTCAAAAAAAAAGAAACTGAGGTTCACAGAGTGGAATATCTTCTGCAAAGTCAGTATGTTGGCCAAGCTGGGATTTGAATGGGGGTCTACCTCCATTCTTCCTTTCTGCACACTTCCTTTCCCACTGTGCCATGGGGTTCTGTTCTTAGGAGGCTTGGCCCACCCCCTCGTGGTATGCTGGCGAGTGTTTACCAATGGGGGTCAGGGAAAGCCCTGACCTGTAGTGCTTGCTCATTTCCGTGGTGTAAACACTCCCACCATGGCCAGTTTCCAGCTAACAGCGTGGCATCCCTGGAGGCAGAGTTGAGAAGAGATGTGTACAGCTAGCTGTGGGCAGCCAGTGCTAGCCAGCTCCAGCACACCCTCAGCCCTGTGCATGGGTCACCAGCAGAGCCTGTGCATGTCAGTGTGGGTGGTCATACTGAACCATGGGAGTGCCACCTCCCTGCCCCCCAACCTCAGCACCCCAGGGACCCAGCTCTTCCTAATGTGGTTGGGTCCCTGGGCGCCTAGTGCCATGGCTGGACAAAGGCCAGCTTCTGACTATACTCTGAGGGGCCCTGTGACCTCTTACCAGAGCCTGCCCTCTCTACTCTAGCACCCTCATCCCAGGGAGCACCAGCCATCAGTCCACATGATCTTTGGAAGCGTGGATGGCCACTGCAAGGGGTCGGGGAAATGAGCTGACTGGGAAGTGTGTGTGCAGGGGTTCCCAGTAGTAGGAAGATAAGCTTTTGTCACGGAGGGAACTAAGACCAGTATTCAAGTTTCTCTCTGGGTAAGCAGACAGGGGGCTGTCATGGGGCTCGGTGGTACTTGCTTTATCTCTGAGAGATAGCCAGGCCAGGGAGCTCCTGCTTAAAACCATGGCATTCAAGCAGCCTGTGCAGGGCAGACCTTCCTGGGGAGGGCATGGCTCATAGCATGGGCTGGCGCACGCACCTTTAGGACAGTAAGGCCTACTGTCTTCATCTCCTAGAGAGACCAATGACTTCTGGCACTGCAGATGGGCCACTGGGCCCAGGAATCAGCATTAATGGGTGCTAGGGTGCAGAAAGGTGAGAAACCTGGGACTAGAGAGCTGGGCCCAGGTGTCAGAAGACCTGGCTGTGGTTTGCTTCTGCTACCTGTAGCACATGATTCCATCAAGCTGGCCAGCCTCCCTGAGCCTCAGCTGCTACATCTGTGAAATGGCAGCATAACCCTCCCTGTGGGTTTGCTGTGGGCTTGCTATTGTCAGCACAAAGGAGGCTGGGAGTGTCTGGCAAATTGGAAGGCTCATGATGCCTCAGGGTTTCCTTGTTACCAGGAGACCACCTGATAGGCTGGAGGGAATGTGGGCTGTGAGGTCAGACAGGCAGGGGCATGAGTCCCAGCTCTGATATTCTAGGTTGTGCAGCTTTGGGCAAATGCCTGGGGCTCTCTGAGTCTCTCAGCTCCTCTTCTGTAGCTTGGGATTATAACAGATGTCCAATTTTTAGGATTAAAATGAGGTTAAACAAGACAGTGCATGAGGAGCTCTCAGGCTCATCACCTTCTCACTGCTAGGGACCCACTGCCCCTCACCAGATGTGAGGACGCCCCTACAAGGCCAGCAGAAGGAACAGCTCATCGAAACCCCCTGTGGCCTTGGCAGTGAGGCCTGATGCGGTGCTGTAGCCTCAGTTTGCTCATCTCTATGATGGGGATGCCATGTGAACTGAAAGACTCACATAGAAAGCATATAGGCCCCACTTAGCATGTAGTTAAGTGCTTGATACATATTAGCCTCTGTGGTGATTATTCCTGGTTTGATCTGGGCCCCACCAGCCAATGGTTACCTGTTGATGGTTACCTGAGTCTAGATTAGACAGAAGTCCACAGCTGCCCCTTTGTGCCCCACCCAGACTGAAAGGCTGAGCAGGTGAGAGCAAAATATTCTGTGGTACTGTGTCTAAGCACATCTTTGCTGCATTTTGCCCAGCACAAGCCCTAGGCTTTTAAAAAATAGCAGCTTTCTTGCTCCCAGCAGGCAGAGCTTCTGCCGTACGCTGGCTAATGATGGGCTGGCAGCGGAGTGTCACACACAATTATTGTCTCCTGGGAAGGCAACAACCTTGGCAGGGTGTCACCTTCGATTAGGGTGGACACACACAGGAAAGGGCCTTACCCAGCCAGACCAGGTGTGTGAGGTTCTCCAGGCCCTCAATCTTCTCAATGATGTTATTGTCCAGCTGCAGCTTCCTCAAGTTCTCAAACTGCCAGAGGTTGTCTATGCGGAGGATGTCTGAAATAATGGAAGGAGATTTTAGCCTCAGGTTAGGGTCAGAGTTTTGTGCCAGTGTACGGGAGGAGTGAGGCAGAACCACACAAAAGGGCTCTACAACTCTTCTGCCCGGCCCTGGAGTACACAGGCGCCCTTGAGATGTAGGCTGAGCATCGAGAAACACTGTGTCCCTGTGGGTGGGCGGGTATCAGTACTACCACCCAAAGCCACAGGAAGACCTCGTAAGTTTACTAGGGTGGGGCTAAGAACTTGTTGGTGTTGGAGTGGCCTAGCCCTGCTCTGGGCAGGTGACTCACTTGTGCTGTCTCTGGGGCCAGGCCAGGGCCTCTCCAGGAGGCTGGTACACCTCGGGACACAGGACAGTCAAGGGCCTTCCTTCCACAGTGTGACAAATAGAATGAAAACATGTGTCTCTGTTGGTGGGAAGGTTGATCACCTTGTTCAGCCTTTTTGAGGGTTGTTTGGCAATGTTTACTGAAATATTTAAAGTCTGTGTCCTTTGACCTACAATTTCTTTCTTTTTTTTTGAGACGGAGTCTTGGTTGGTCTCCAGGCTGGAGTACTACAGTGGCGCGATTTCAGCTCATTGCAACCTCCACCTCCTGGGTTCAAGTGATTCTCGTGCCTCAGCCTCCTGAATAGCTGGGACTACAGGCGCACACCACCACACCCAGCTAACTTTTATATTTTTAGTAGAGATGGGGTTTCACCATGTTGGCCAGGATAGTCTCGATCTCTTGACCTCATGATCCTCCTGCCTTGGCCTCCCAAAGTGCTGGGATTACAGGCATTAGCCACCATGCCCGGCCTCTTTCAGCCTCTTTTTTTTTTTTTTTTTTTTTTTTTTTAAGACAGAGTCTTACTCTGTCGCCCAGGCTGGAGTACAGTGGTGTGATCTCAGTTCACTGCAACCTCCACCTCCTGGGTTCAAGCAATTCTCTGCCTCTGCCTCCCAAGTAGCTAGGAATACAGGTGCCGACCACCACCACACTGGGCAAATTTTTGTATTTTTAGTAGAGATGGGGTTTCACCATCTTGGCCAGGCTGGTCTGGAACTCCTGACCTCATGATCCGCCCACCTTGGCCTCACAATGTGCTGAGATTACAGGTGTGAGCCACCGCGCCTGGCCTCGACCTACAATTTCTCTGCATGGGATCTGTCTCCACACTTGTGTAAATGTCCAAAGAAATCTCTCAGGCACGTAAGGGGCACAAAAGCTCCCAAATGTCCATATGTAGGGGATGAGATAAGGCATCCATGTACGAATGAGGCAGGTTCCTGATATCATAGAAGTGCCTGGCCCCTGTGGCCCGTGAAGACCACCCATGCCAGCTACACAGCAGATTCATTCCATTTGCTAAGTAAGCCAGTCAGAGTTTGGTTTCTGTCACTGGCATCCAGAAGAGTTCTGACTAACACAAACGTATAAGTAAATAGGTACTGTATATGTAAAACTCTAGAGGCCAGACTTGTCTGCCAGCTGTTCCCAGAAGCCACATATAGCTCTATTGTTTATATTCTCCTTTTTTCCATATTTGCATTTGTAATGATTTCTAAAATTTATTAAATTAGAGGATGCTCATTAAAAGAACTGAAATAATATAGAAGTGAAAGGAGTTTTAAAAACTGGTGCTGTGGCCAGGTGCGGTGGCACACACCTGTAATCCCAGCACTTTGGGAGTCTGAGGCCGGTGGATTGCTTGAGGTTGGGAGTTCAAGACCAGCCTGGCCAACATGGAAAAACACTGTCTCTATAATAAAAATATAAACATTAGGCAGGCGTGCCTGTAGTCCAAGCTACTCAGGAGGCTGAGGCAGCAGAATCGCTTGAACCCAGGAGGCAGAGATGCAGTGAGCCAAGATCACGCCACTGCACTGCAGCCTCGGTGACAGAGCAAAACTCTGTCTCTAAATAAATAGAAATAAAAATTGGTGCTGAGGTGTTGTGCCTTACAGGAGCCTGAGCTGGCCAGTCTGCTGTATCCCTGCCATGTCCCCCGCTGTGTCCCCTGCCAGGACCGACTGAGCTGGGCTGGGCTGCCATGGACCACAAGCTCCTGCTGCAGGAGTGGCTGCCCACCTACAACCTAGGGGCCGGCCAGGGCGATGGCGCGTGCAGCCCGCATGGCTATGGCGCCATCCTGCTGCCCACCCCTTCCCGCTGCCTACCCTCCCCTTACCTCATCACAGGGATACCCACCCACCACCCCAGGGTCTACAACGGCCACAGCCGGACTATTACTCAGTACCCTGCCAATGCCATCATCATCATGAGAGGCTGTCCCGTCCGCAGGGTCCGGGTGCTGAAGGACTGCTTCGCTTTCCTAGGAATCCTCCTGGCCATCATCCTGTTCCCCTTTGGATTCATCTGCTGATTTGCCTTGAGGAAGCAAAGATGCCCCAACTGCGGAGCAGACTTCGCTTAAAGGGACCACCATACCTGGCTTTCCCACACCCAGCTCTCTGTTTCTCATGTACAACAGTTTTATTTGATTAAGCTTCAGGGCTGTTTTATAAAGCGAGGTGGGACAGATGAGGCATGTGGGAGCTGCAGTTTCCTGGAGCATGGAGAGGCAGCGCCACTGCTCCTGAGGTTAATGACAACTCGATAAAGCACTGCTTTTATGTTCTGCAGTCTTCAATTTGAGAACGGTGAGATATGTTTTCAATAAATGAGATTCATACCATTAAAAAAATAAAAAATACAGATTGGTGCTGTTAATGACCACATGGTCCAGCTACAGCTTCAATATTCATTCAGGGGGGCAGAGCCTGCCGTGAGGTTGTGAAAGTCCCAGTGGGAAAGTGGGGGACCCCCCAGCTCTCCTCCCTGCACCCAGGTCTGGGGAAGACAGGGTTCTCTGACCCAGGCCCTGAGGGGCCCACTGCCCTTCCCCTAAGGCTGGATTGCTGCGTTGCACCTCCCTGGGTTCCCAGGGCTGGGTGGGACTGGTGCCTGTTCTCCAGCTCCCTGTCTGTGGCCAGATTTCCCAGGATGATACTGGCCACAATTCCCACCTGTGCTTCCAGGGTGGGGCCAGTTCTGCCCTGGACTCCCAGCCACCTCCTATCCCTGGGTTGGATTTTCCAGGTGTGTTTTCTGGCCCTGATCTGACAGCCCCCAGCGGCAGCCCTCCCCCGGTGGCTCCGGCACATCGGCTGCTCTGCCACACACACCCGCCTGCTGGCTTTTTCCTAGGTGTCAGCAGTTCAGGAGGAAAAGCCAAAACAACATGACAAATCAGGATGTACTTGGCAGTTAGCTCTAAATGAATTACCAGCATGACAGGACTGCCAAAAAGCCTATGTAATCTTCAACAAAGACACTGAATCTGCCTCCGTGGTCACCACCTCAGCCAGGCCTGTGGTCACCACTCCCTGGAGCACAGCAGTGGCTGTCTTACTAGATCCTTGCCTCGGCCCCTGGCCTCCACAGTCTATCCTCACGCAGCCAGCAGGGTCCTGTGAAATCCTAAGTACCATCCTGTCCCACTTCTGCTCAGGACCCTCCTGGGGTCCCTGCCTCACTCACTATAAAAGCCAAACACCTTCCATTGGCCCCAAGCTGACACCAGCTGACCCCATGACCTCCCTGACCTGTCTCCACACTGGCTTCCTCAGCAGGGCTGATGAGGTGGGTCCAGCCTGCCCCAGGACCTTTGCACTGGCTGCTCCACTTTCCCCGGTGGATCTCCACAGCGGCTCTCTCCCTCACCTACCTCAAGTCTTTGCTCAAGTGTTATCTTCTTGGTGAAGCCCCTAGCCACCCTATAAAACATTGCACCCCACCCTCAACTTCCCTTTTCTCCTCTCCTTCCTTTTTTCCTCCACAGCACATGTTACCTTTAGCAGATTGTATTATTTTCCTTCTTCATTTTATTTCTTTGTCCCCCACCAAGTTGAATGTCAGCTCCATGAGGACAGGGCTTTTTATCTTTTTGTTCACAGTTGAATCCCTAGTGCCTAGAACAGCACCTGGCATGTAACAGGCAGGTGCTCAATACTGGCTGCATGAACCTTAGGTCGGGGAGGGAAAGCAGTCAGCCGCAAAAGCCCCTTGTGCCACAACTGTTCTGTGTCCCGTTTCAGGGCTACGGCTCAGGGACCTCCCTGCTTGGGTCATCAGCCCTGGAGGCCTGTGGGCTTCATGGGGCTGTGCCTGGGCCACGCCTGTCTTGCCCACTGTCGTGTCCCTGCTCTGGCAGCCGGGCTGGGCCGAGGCAGTGTCTTAGCACTCCCTTGTTGTTGCCTGGATGCCGGCCAGCCTAGGGGCCCCAAGACAGAGCAGGAATGTGAATCAGACAAGGTCACTCTGCTGTGGCCTTGCCTGCACGTGATACAAGGGGGCTCAGGATCCCTGGCCGCCTCTCTCAGTGCTCTTGTGCTGCCTCTGCCTTGACTTACTGTGCCGCAGCTCACTGGCCTTCCTGTGTGAGCCAGGCACTGTGCAAGTGTTGTCTCACCTTGTCCCCCCACCCAATGCTTGAGACAGGGATGACGGTCACCCCATTTCACAGACGGGACATTGAAGCAATAAGGGTCCACCTGGTCCTGAACCACATCTTCCCACCCCTGAGGGGCCTCCCTGCCTCATGGCCTGTGCCCCTCCTGCCACCAGCCCTTGGTCACCCCTTCGGTGAAGCTGCTTTCTCAGTGCCCGCTCTTCCTCCTTCTCCCACACTTCCTACCCTCTGCTCCTGGCTACATGGGACTTCCTAGGCTCTGCCTGCCAGGGACCCCCACTCCAAGGACACCCACATGGAGTTGTGTGATGGAAACAGCATAGTCTTGGAGGCTCGCTTAGATTTGAAGTGGGACAATTTTATCCTGTTTTCTATTCTTACATAGAATCAGGAGTGTTGTGGATATTCAAATGATGAAGACACTAAGTAATGAAGCTTTACAAACATCTGTGCTGCTCCTATGCCTTGTAACCCAGGTAGGCCCTAATGCTGATGGGGGAACCTCCACCATGGACTTTGCATGAAATCCTGGAGCTTGAAGATGGAGCAGAGAAAGCCCGGGAGGCCCCACCCTGGCCACCGCCCCTGAGCCTTGGATACATACTCCGGAAGTCCAGCTGCAGGGATAGGACATCCTTGAAGAGGATGCCCTCCTGCTTGGCAAGCTCCCCGGCCTCCTCCTGGGGGCCCTGCTCCCCAACAGCCAGCTTGAGCATGCCATCGTCTATCACCCTCGGCTCCATCGAGTCGTATAGCCGGTTCATCTTCCCCGATGTTTTCCCTAAAAAACACCACATTCCTCCTTCACGGTCTGCTTCTTTTTTTTTTCTTCTTTTAGTGCAATGGTGCGATCTCAGCTCACTGCAACCTCTGCCTCCCGGGTTCAGCAATTCTCCTGCCTCAGCCTCCCGAGTAGCTGCGATTACAGGCATGTACCACCACACCTGGCTAATTTTTGTATTTTTGGTAGAGACGAGGTTTCACCATGTTGGCCAGGCTGGTCTCAAACTCCTGACTTCAGGTGATCCGCCCACCTCGGCCTCCCAAAGTGCTAGGATTATAGGCATGAGCTGCCGTGTCCGGCCGTATACGAGGTTTCCCCGTATGGTGCTGCTGTGGCCACTGACACTGAAGAATGCCCCCCTCCCAGCCCTGGGCCTGCTGTATCTCGGGGTTTGTACATTTGCACCAAGGCTGCTCCAGGGCTTCCTGGCACCCACTGGGCCTGTCCACAAGGTTTCATCCCTTGACCCTACAGCCACAGCTGGGACCCTCCCTGGACCCACTGGACTGGTATCCACACTGGTCTCCTTAGCCTGTGATCTTGGCTCATCTTACGACTGTGGCCCTGTGTCAGGCCTCTGACTTTGTGTGCCCATCCTCATTTGGGTTTGCGGGTATCAACCCCTGACTGTGCTCCCTGGGTATCCCCAGGCAGGCAGGTCAGCCTGCAGCTCCTCTTCCTTGAGCACCTCACCCCTCCAGGCAGTTATGTGTGTACGCCCCCTACCACAGCACAAGCTTTCCCTGGTGCAGAGGGAGCCCCTGACCCAAGCTGACCATTCATGTCCTCCCCGGGGCAGATGTGAATTTGAGGCTGCAGAAGGAGAGTGCTCACTGCAGCTGGCCGCTTCAGCTGGGGAGGAATAGGGAGCGTGGACTGACTGGGCACATGGTTAAACAGAGAGCAAGAGCGGGAGGAGGCAGATGCACAGAGAAAAGCAGAGATGGGAACCTGGGAACCTGGGAACCAGAAAACAAAAGACAAAGGACAGACAGACCGACGCAGACAGAGGCTGCCTCCTTCCTGTTGGCTTTCCAGTCCCTAATGTTCCTAAGTCCAGGCCTCATGAGAGTTTCCTGTTTCTCATATGAAATCCTCTTTTACTTAAGCTAGCTCCAGTAGGTTCTTTTTTTCTTTTTTTTTGAGACAGAGTTTCACTTTTGTTGCCCAGGCTGGAGTGCAATGGCACAGTCCCGAATCACCACAACCTCTGCCTCCTGGGTTCAAGAGATTTTCCTGCCTCAACTTCCCCAGTAGCTAGGATTACTGGTGTCCGTCACCACGCCTGGTTAATTTTTTTTGTATTTTCAGTAGAGACGAGGTTTCAACATGTTGGCCAGGCTGGTCTTGAACTCCTGACCTCAGGTGATTCACCCACCTTGGCCTCCCAAGTGCTGGAATTATATGGGTGAGCCACTATGTCCAGCCTCCAGTAGGTTCTGTTGCTAACGGTCCAAAGGGATTTGGCCGAGACAGCACAGCACAGGGGGATCTGTAGACTCGGTCAGTCACACTGCGAGGCTGACCCGAGGCTGCTGTTCCTGACTGGACCACATGCTCATCCTTACCAATCCTCTTGGTGAAGACATCCAGGAGGGACATTTCCCCCTGCTTTCTCCCCCTGATTCTTGCTTCCCTGCTGGCCCTCCTTCCTATCTTTGCCCACATGTCTCCCCAGCGCATGGGCCTCCCTGAACCTCCTGTCCTTCTGCCCTGCTGGTCCCTGATGCTAGGCAGCCCCTGTGCTCTCCTTTTCATTCCATTCGGCTGGAGAGACTCCTAGTGCAGGGCTGACGGTGTCCGCTGAAAAGGCAGGTTGGGCCATACAATCCTATCACCTGGTCTTAAAGACTTCCCTTTAAGACTGCCTTCCTTTCCTCCCCGACCATCCACCTGGATGCAGCTTCTGTAAATACACATCCTTTGCCCTGAACTGTCCCTCATCGAATGTCCCTATAAGCTCTTGCTTCTCTTTTGCTCACAGGAGAGGCATAACCTTCACACCCTTCAGCCCCTACCCCTTCTCCACCTGTGCCTTCCATCCTCCCAAGACCTTGGTCCTTTTCTTCCCACTCTTTCCAATCTGTTTACACCGGCTCCGCCTCAATGAGGTGACCGATTCCACCCTCAAAGACAGTTCCAGACTTTGGCCTCTCTCTCATAGCTCCCCACTCTTATGCAATGGTTTCCCCTAACTTGTCATCAGCTTGTCTTTGGGGGAATTTTAATGTGTTATGTTTGACTGATGTTTTCTGCAAAGTGTTTGGCCTCTTCTTTTTTTAAATGGTGCTATACTTTGGGAAATGACTCTTAATTCTGATTTCAAAACTTATCCCTCCTACTTCATCAGGGCCTGCTACCCTTGACAGATCAAGCTTGCTTTCAGTGAAGCCCAGCAATTGCTGTGCCAGGTAATATGGGGTTGTTATTACACATGCTATTTTGTTAAGTATATCAGGGCAGGATTTGGATCCTGACTGTGCATCTTTGGTAACTCACTTCACCTATCTAAACCTTGGCTTTCCCATTGTAAAAGGCAGGTAATTCCTCCCTCCTACATGTGTGAGATCATGTATTTAGTCCACACATGTGTACTGAGTAACTGCTACATGCTGTGAATAAAACAGATGGATTTTACCCCTGCTTCAGGCATGAATCAAACAATAATACAAATATTTAATTACAAACCATGATAATTTGTAGGTGTAGGGAACTATGAAATCATACATTAGGGGCACCTGGCTGGCCAAGGAAGACAGGGCTGATCTCAAGGCCAAGTAGGAAAGAGGGAGGAGGTAACTTAATAGCAAGGCCCTTCAGGTGGGAGAGAACAGACATGCTGCACTTTGGCTGAAGTGATGCAGGGTTGGAGAGGTCTGCGGGAGTTTTGTTATTGTCTTAGAATCCCTGGAAAGCACTGAGGGCTTAATAAGGTCAGCAAAATTAGCCAGGCATGGTGGTACATGCCGAGTGAGGCGGTAGAATCACTTGAACCTGGGAGGCAGAGGTTGCAGTTAGCTGAGATCGCACTATTGCACTCCAGTCTGAACAACAAGAGCCAAACTCTGTCAAAAGAAAGAGAGGGGGGAGGGGATGGAAAGGGAGGGTGTGGTGGCTCACGCCTATAAGCACTTTGGAAGGCTGAGGCAGGCGGATCACAAGGTCAGGAGTGCAAGACCAGCCTGACCAACACGGTGAAACCCCGTTCTCTACTAAAAATACAAAAAAAACATTAGCTGGGTGTGGTGGTGGACACCTGTAATCCCAGCTACTCAGGAGGCTGAGGCAGGAGAATCGCTTGAACCCAGGAGACAGAGGTTGCAGTGAGCTGAGATGGCACCACTGCTCTCCAGCCTGGGCGACAGAGCAAGACTCTGTCTCAAAAATAAATAAATAAAGGCAGCAACATGATCAGATTTTAGTTTTTAAGTAGCTCACACTAGCAGCAGTACTGAGAATTGCCAAAATACTGAGGTGAGAGATGGCTAGGGTGTTGGTAACGTGGGTGTGAGAAATTTCTAGACATTTAATTTATACGTAGGGCTAATAATCACCAATATCCAGATAAGAAAACAGAAGCTACTTAGAAAGGTTAAGAGAGAGATCCAAGTTGGCTGATCACTAGCAGCTTGGGATTGTAGCTCCCACTGAAAGTGCAGAGAACGAGAGGACGCCACGCTTTCAGAACAATTTTTGTTGCTCACGCACCAGGAGATTCCCAGCGGAGGAGCCCCACAGGTCGCCAGCGCAACTCTTGCGGCTGGCGAGGCGGTTTTGCCGCTGCCTTGGTGCGGCGGTTCTTGGTGCAGAGTCAGAAAAGCACCATCAATCATAACGCCACTGTTTTGGCCGGCGCGGTGGGTTGCTCAGATTTTAGCGCTAGGAATCAACAAGTTGGACGTCCATTCAGAAAAGACCACAGATGGATAAATCTATAACGAAGGGAAGAAACCAGCCTAAAAATGCCGAGAATACCCAAAATCAGAACGCCTCTCCCTCTACAGGGGATCACAGTTCCTCATCAGCAACGGAACAAGGCCTGATGGAGAAAGACTGTGTTCCATTAGCAGAAGCTGGCTTTAAAAGGTGGATGATAAGAAACTTCTGGGAATTAAAAGAACTTGTCCTAACCCAATGCAAAGAAACTAAGAACTTTGAAAAAAGGTTTGACGAAATGTCAACAATAATACACAATTTAGAGAGGAATATAAGTGAATTAATGGAGCTGAAAAACACAACACGAGAACTTGGCGAAGTATGCATGAGTTTTAACAGCTGAATTGATCAAACAGAAGAAAAGATATCAGAGGTTGAAGACCACCTTAATGAAATAAAACGAGAAGACAAGATTAGAGAAAAAAGGATAAAAAAGAACGAGCAAAGTCTCCAAGAAATATGGGACTATGTGAAAAGACCTAATCTATGCTTGATAGGTGTACCTGAATGTGACGAAGAGAATCAATCCAAGCTGGAAAATAC